TGTGTAAATGTACCACATTTTCTCTATCCACTCTTCGGGTGAGGGGCATCTAGGCTGCTCCCAAGTTCTGGCCATTACAAATAATTCTGCTATGAACATAGTGGAACAGAAATCCTTGTTGTATGAATGGGCATCTTTTGGATATATGCCTAAGAGTGGAGTTGCTGGGTCTTGTGGTAGGTTTATTCCCATTTTTCTGAGGAATCTCCATACTGATTTCCAAAGTGGCTGAACAAGCTGGCATCCCACCAACAATGGAGGAGTGTTCCCCTTTTACCACATCCTATCTAACATAAATTGTCGTTGGTGTTTTTGATTTTAGCCATTCTGACAGGAGTGAGATGGTATATCAGAGTTCTTTTGATTTGAAATTCTCAGATCCTAAGGATGTTGAGCACTTTCTCAAGCGCTTCTCAGCCATTTTAGACTCCTCTATTGAAAACTCTCTATTTAGTTCTGCAGCCCACTTTTTAATTGGATCCTTTGGTGTTTTGGAGACTTGCTTCTTGAGATCTTTGTAAATTTTGGAGATCAACCCTCTGTCAGATGTGGGGTTAGTGAATATTTTTTCCCATTCTGTGGGCTGCTTTTTGATTTGCTGACCTTGTCTTTTGCCTTACAGAAGCTTGTCAATTTCAGGAGGTCCCATTTGTTAATTGTGGATCTCACTATCTGTGCTACTGGTGTTATGTTCAGTAAGCTGTCTCCTGTACCAATTCATTCAAGGGTACTGCCCACTTTCTCTTCTAAGATGTTCAGTGTGGCTGGATTTATGTTGAGGTCTTTGATCCATTTGGACTTAAGTTTTGTGCATGGTGATAAACATGGATCAATCTACATGCCAGCCTCCAGTTATGCGAGCATTGTTTATTGAAAATGCTTTCTTCATTCCATTGTATATTTTTAGCTCCATTTGTTCATATGTGTGTAGATTAATATCAGGGTTTTCAATTCAATTGCATTGGTCTACCTGTCTATTTTTGTGCCAATACCAAGATGTTTTCAAGACTATAGCTCTATAATAGACCTTGAAGTCAGGGATGGTGTGCCTCTGGACGTTGCCATGTTGAACAGGGTTGTTTTGGCTATTCTGGGTCTTTGGCTTTTCGATACAAAATTGATTATTGTTCTTTCAAGGTCTATGAAGAATTGTTCTGGGATTTTAATGGGGATTGCATTGAATCTGTAGATTGCTTTTGGCAGGATTGCCATTTTTACTATATTGATCCTACCTATCCAAGAGCATGGGAGATCTTTCCATTTTCTGAGGGATCCTTTAATTTCTTTCTTAAAAGATTCAAAGTTATTGCAATACAGGTCTTTCACTTGTTTGGTTAGAGTTACCCCAAGGTATTTTATGTTGTTTGTGGCAATTGTACAGGGTGATGTTTCTCTGATTTCTTTCTCAGACCTTTTATCATCTGTATATAGTAGGACTACTGATTTTCTTGAGTTGATCTTGTAGCCTGCCACTTTGCTGAAGGTGTTAATCAGCTGTAAGAGTTCCCTTGTAGAGTTCTTTGGGTTATTTATGTAAACTCTCATATCATCTGCAAATAGTGAAAGTTTTACCTCTTCCTTCCCAAATTGTATCCACTTGATTCCCTTTTATTGTCATATGGCTGTGGATAGAACTTCAAGTACAATGTTGAAAAGATATGGACAGAGTGGACAGCCTTGTCTTGTTACTGATTTTAGAGGAATTGCATTGAGTTTCTGTCCATTTAGTTTGATGTTGGCTGTTGGTTTGCTGTATATAGCTTTTATTATGTTTAAGTATGTTCCTGTCATCCCAGATATCTCCTATACCTTTATCATGAAGGGGTGTTGGATTTTGTCAAAGGCTTTTTCAGCATCTAGTGAGATGATCATGTGATTTTTGTTTTTTAGCTTGTTTATATGATGGATTACATTGATGGATTTTCTTATGTTGAACCATCCCTGCATCCCTGGGATGAAACCTACTTAATCGTGGTGAATGACAATTTTAATGTGTTCTTGCATCTGATTTGCCAGTATTTTATTGAGTATTTTTGCATCAATGTTCATGAGGGATATTGGTCTGAAGTTCGCTTTCTTAGTTGTATCTTTGTGTGGCTTGGGGATCAAGGTTATTGAGGACTCGTAGAAAGAGTTTGGCAAAGACCCTTCTGCTTCTATTGTGTAGAATACTTTGAGAAGAATTGGGATAAGCTGTTCTTTAAATTTCTGGTAGAATTCTGCATTGAGGCCATCTGGACCTGGGCTTTTTTTGTTTGGGAGACTTTTGATGACTGCTTCTATTTCCATAGGTGTTATAGTTGTATTTAAATTGCTTATCTGTTCTTGATTTAATTTTGGCAAGTGATAGCTATCCAGGAAGTCGTCCATTTCCTTTAAATTTTTTAATTTTGTGGAGTATAGGTTTTCAAAGTATGACGTGGTGATTCTCTGAATTTCCTCAGAGTCCGTTGTTATGTCCCCCTTTTCATTTCTGATTTTGTTAATTTGCATGTTCACACTCTGCTGTTTTGTAAGTTTTGGACAAAGGTTTGTCTATCTTGTTGATTTTCTTAAAGAACCAATTCTTTGTTGCAATGTTTTCTTTGTATTGTTTTCCTAGCTTCTACTTTATTGATTTTAGCCCTCAATTTGATTATTTCCTGGCATCTACTCCTCCTGGGGGAGTTTGCTTCTTTGTATTCTAGAGCTTTCAGCTGTGCTGTTAATTCTCTAGTGTAACTCTTCTCTAGTTTCTTCATGTGGGCACTTAGTGCTATGAAATTCCCCCATAGCACTGCTTTCAAAGTGTCCTATAGGTTTGGGTATGTTGTGTCTTCATTCTCATTGAATTCTAGGAAGTCTTTAATTTCTTTTTTTTATTTTTTCTTTGACCCAGGAATGATGCTGTTGTGCATCATTCAATTTCCATGAGTATGTAAGGTTTCTCTAATTTTTGTTGTTGTTAAGTTCTAATTTTAACGCATGGTGGTCTGATAAGATGCATGGAATTATTCCGATTTTTTTGTAGCTGCTGAGGTTTGATATGTTGCCAAGTATGGGTCTATTTTTGAGAGGGTTCCATGTGGTGGTGAGATGAAGGTATATTCTTTTTTATGTGGATGAAATGTTCTATAGATGTCTGTTAATTCCAGTTGGGTCATTACTTCTATTAGATCCTTTGCTTGTTTGTTGTGTTTCTGTCTGGTATCCCTGTCTAGTGGTGAGAGTGGTGTGTTGAAATATCCCACTATTAGTGTGTGGGACTTTATATGTGATTTAAATTTTAGTAATATTTCTTTTACGAATGTGGATGCCTTTGTATTTGGGTCATAGATGTTCAGGATAGACACTTCATCTTGGTGGATTTCGCCTGCGATGAGTATGTAATGACCTCCTTCATCTCTTTTGATTGATTTTATTTTAAAGTCTAATTTGTTAGATATTAGGATTGCTACCCCTGCTTGTTTCTTGGGTCCATTTGATTGGAAAATGTTTTCCCAACCTTTAATTCTCAGGTAATGTCTGTCTTTGAGGGTGAGGTGTGTTTCTTGTATGCAGCAGAAGGATGGGTTCTGTCCTCGAATCCATTCTACTAGCCTGTGTCTTTTTATGGGTGAGTTAAGGCCATTAATGTTGAGGGATATTAATGACCATTGATTGCTCATTCTTCTTTGATTTTGAATGGTTGCTGGTGGTGGAATTATGTGTGGAATTTCACCCCTTTGTTCTTTTGGCTGTTGGTAGAGAGGGATTCTCTAATGCTTATACTTTTTGAATTGTTTCTTATAATTTTTGCTTTGTCTTTTCCTATCTTTCTTGCCTTTGTTGCAGTTTTTTGTTTGTCTTTTCTGACAATTCTTCATTTTTTGGATTGTTTTTTCCTCAATTTTTTGTATCTTTTGGTTTGTCTTCTCTGCCATTTCTTTAAGGGATTTTCTCATATCTTCTTTGAGGGCCTCTATCATTTTTATGAAGTTGTTTTTAAGGTCTTTCTCATTTGCTTCTGCAATGTACTGTTCAGGTCTTGTAGGTGTAGATTCTCTAGTTTCTGGTGATATTATATTGCTTTTGCTGTTGGTGTGTGGTTTCTTGTATTGTCTCTTCCCATCATTTCTTCCTGTGGGTGGTTGCAGAAGGAGTCCCTTTCCTCCTCTGGTGGGTATGTGACTACAGTTCCTTTCCAGTGGGTGGGAGCAGGTCCAAAACCCTGGTGTCTTTCCTCTTGCGTGCATGGAGGCTGTCCTTGTATCGGGACCTTAGCAAACTCTGGGTAGGCTGGACCGTCGCCTGTCCCATGGGTGGAGACTGGGACTTGGAAGCTGGCAGTCTCTGGGCGGGCTGAAACCATGTAAGGCTGTGATCAGGATCCTCTGTGCTCAGTCCTCAGGTCTCTGGTGGTTCTGCTCAGGCCACCAGAAAGCAGGCTAGAGACAGAACCACATTTACCTCACCTGTGCTGTGGGTGGCGAATGGACTTGAAAGCTGGCAGTCTCTGGGCAGGCTGAGTCCTGTCCGTGTGGGATTTGGATCTGCTGTGCACAATCCTCAGTTTTCCGGTGTTTCTGATCAGGCCACCATAAATTAGGCTTGCCTCACTTCCCCTGTCCTGTGGGTAGAGACTGGGACTAGGAAGCTGGCATTCTGGGTGGACTGAATCCTGTCTGGCTAGGATCCAGATCTGCTGTGTGCAGTCCTCAGGTCTCTGGTGTTTCTCTATAATAATTACTTTTAAAAATATTTATCCTTGCCGGGCGGTGGTGGCACACGCCTTTAATCCCAGCACTCAGGAGGCAGAGGCACGCAGATCGCTGTGAGTTCGAGGCCAGGCTGGACAGACAGCCTACAAAACAATACAGAGAAACCCTGTCTCGTAAAAAGCAAACAAAAAATTATTCATTTTTCTTGTTTAATACATCCCAAACAAGCTTTTAATTTTTTCTCTACTCAGGATTCCTACCTTAGAGATATTTCTACTTTATTTGAATTATATACATCCCCATAAATATTTATTTCAACAGAAAAAGACTTACAATTGAAGATGGAAAATCTGAAATATCTTGATGGTGATGAAAATACTCAATTATCTGTACGTAATGTTAAATTTGAATTTCAATTTTGTTTTATACTTTAATACTCCTTTGGTAGTGCAGACTAAATTTAATCTTCTAATCACATTATCATTAATGTAACAATGCTTAACATTTAATTAAAATTTAACTAGTTAGAAGTTTTGGATTTTTCTTGACTATTAACTCATGCTGAAAATTACTCTGGAATTGTTATAATTTTATTAATATTTTATAAGGAGTTATAGTCTTTATTCATAAAAACACAAGAGAAAAGAATGTTTACCTATTCTAAGCACTGGAAAATTTGAACAATATTACACTCTCTCCTCTGCTGCTATGCCCCAAACAATAACATTATAATACTTCTTTTTTCTTTTGGTACATTGAAGTAAACCAGCCAATATAATCAAAGTACTGTGTTAAGAAGTTACCTAACATGAGAATAAATTAGGTCTTGTCTTAATGCACAAGCATGGTGTAAGTACCTAATACTCTCTTGTGGAAATTGAGTGATTTGTGTTTGGGTCTCTCCAGTGCTATTCTCATTCCTTTGATACTGAATAGTGTTTCACCAATTCTTGCCAGTAAAACAGAGACAGAAATCATAGCCTTTTTTTTCCTTTCTTGATTTTGACTGCTTTAAAATCTGCAATGTGACAGTGGGCATAGAAATGAGCTGTGTGCCATAATTTAACAAAATAACCAAGTAACCAGATGAAGAATCCTGAAGGGATAACACTATTGAACACTAAGGAAGTTTTCTATCAGAGAGAGAATGTAGGTTTTAGTTCAACTCTGTATTCAAGGAAACTACTCTAAATGTGATATTGAAGCTACCAAATGAATGAGGAGGAGTCAGCTTTAGAGACAAGTCTGTGACATGATGGGTAAAGATGGAAAAAAATCACCACTGTTTATCTCAGTCACTAGATTCTTAGTTAGGGCTATCATAACATTCAGATGATTAATAATCACTGTGTGATCTTATTCTTGTCAGGAGAGAATTGTACTCAATTCAGACACTTTTTTGTAGCCTAAAATTTCTGTGCTATGATGTAAAAAAGTAATATTTTTCTTATTATTTTGTCATTTCATTCAATTAAGTTTGTTTTTGTGGATATTTTACTAAAAGTACTTAGCATTTTAAACCAAACAAGGCAACTTCTTGATTCTTCTGGGATTTCAGTGACATGCTATGATATTTGTTTTAATCTGTGTCTGTAAAAATGTCAAAGCAACTAAAAATATAGAGTAGTTCTCAGAATTATTTAGGCAATGGCACAGATCATAAATTTCTCAAATGGAATTAATTTAATATTGATAAAACACATTTTCAATTTTTAATAATGAGAATATTTTAGAGTATTTATATTATTAAAGCCATAGGAAAAATGAATGTGTTCTGGATTTTCTGCCTGCATAATATTTTAAAGTTCAATTTCCTAAAAGAAATCATCAAATTGTTAATGGAAGTTAAACTACATATATCCCGTCATTTCCCTCTGCCATTCTTTGTGTCAACTTAATTTTTATTAAACGAGTGTCTCACTTATATTTTCATGACCTATACAAAGACACGCTTATGTATGCTAATCATATTAAAATATAAAATTAGAGAAAGTAAATGGTATTTATCTTTCCAAGTTTTGCTTAATTTGCTAAAAATGATTACTTAAGTTTCATTAATCTTTTTGTAAATGTCATAATGCTGTTCTGGATACTTGAGAAGTTGCATTGTATTTTTAAATAACACAGTATTTGTAAAGCTAGCATGTGTCCTTTTGTTACCAAAACACATTCCAGTTAGGTTGGTATGTTTAAATATAAATTTTTAATTATTCTCAAACAAGAAATATAAAAATTATAGTATATGTATCATGATGTTAAACCTTGTTCAGATATGCATATTGTCTAATGTTTTGTGTGTTAATAAATGAACACCAGCTTTCCATAGAGGGCTAAGTGCTCTATTATCAATGATGTTTAATATAATTTTGTCCTAAGAAGCATATGTCTCTTTAATTCATAAATTTAAATTTAAAATGTTTTGTAAACATGTTTCTTAATATCAAGGATACTTGTTTATGTTATCTTAAACGTCTATATTTCTAAAGGCATGTGTGTGTTTCTTATGTGGGAATGTGCACATATATGTACTGTTCACACAGGGCAGATCCATTGAATCTCACTGCAACTGGAGATAGAGATGGTTGTGTGCTGCCTAAAAGCTCTGGTCCTCTCAGAGAACCAAAAGTCTCTTAACCACTAAGCCTTCTCTCAGCCATAGTGTACTTGCTATTATAATAAGTTCCTTTATTTTCTTGCAGAATGAATGGAAATTCATGGTTCTTACTATTGATATTTGCTTTACTAGGATATTGTTACACATATTCAACTGAGGTGTAATCCTCACTTATCAACAGGACTAAGCCCAAGACCTATGAGTATTCTAAATGAAAGAGGGAAAGGTAAGAATTATGTCACCCATAAATCTCTTCAAAGAATACTTATGACATACTAGCCAAATTAGTCACCTATCAAAAAATGTAGGAGACATAGGATGAATTAGACTATAAAAAGGAATAAGATCATGAGACACTAATATGAATATGTCTCAAATGTTCAATAGCATATTAATTTGACAATGTTGAGGTTTGAGTTGTTTTATAAGAAGATGATGAAACAGTTTGTTTTAAGACATTAAAGGCATAATGATTTGGAAAGCAGATGGAGAGTGAAGATCAAAATGGTAGATTGGATGTCTAAAAAGGAAACTGAGCTAGCTGTATTAATTCATGGTTGATAACTTCTTTAGGAAAATGAAGTGTTAGAACTTCAGGAGACATATTCCACTAGTTAGTATTGTGTAAACATGACTGAGAAGTAGAAACAAAGATACTATAATAATTATCTTCATCACCTATAGAAACATGTGAATGACTAAAGAAATTTACAATGTTTAGTATGTAGGTGTAAATATCTCTGTCAGCAACACATGTCATATTTAAAGTTATACATAGAATTACTCTTTCCAGGGTTATCATAAAGGCTAAAATGTGTTAGGGAGTAAAAATAGGTGTCCACAAAAGTGACCAATTGGTAACAGGTCTATATGGTGGCCCCTGACTTCTCACATAATTTATGCTTTGATTACTGAAAGAAAAACTATATGCTAGATACCATGATGTAAAATTCCATATATAGAATATGGATGAAAGCTCCAATCTGATCATGGCATGAACATCTAATTAGGAAACATAGTTAATTTGCATGTTCACATTCTGCTTCTTGGTAAGTTTGGACAAAAATTTGTCTATCTTGTTGATTTTCTCAAAGAACCAACTCTTTTGTTACATTGATTCTTTGTATTGTTTTCCTAGTTTCTACTTTATTGATTTCAGCCCTCAATTTGATTATTTCCTGGTATCTACTCCTCCTGGGAGAGTTTGCTTCTTTGTGTTCTAGAGTTTTCAGCTGTGCTGTTAATTCTCTAGTGTGACTATATTCCAGTTTCTTCATGTGGGCACTTAGTGCTATGAACTTCCCCCGTAGCACTGCTTTCAAAGTGTCCCATAATTTTGGGTATGTTGTATATTCATTCTCATTGAATTCTAGGAAGTATTTAATTTCTTTTTTATTTCTTCTTTGACCCAGGAATGTGCTGTCGTGCATTAATAATAGTAATTACAGAAACCCTAAAAACTCATGGAAATTGAACAATGCACAGTTGCACCATCCCTAGTTCAAGGAAAAATAAAGAAAGAAATTAAAAACTTCCTAGAATTCACTGAGAACAAAGACACAACATACCCAAAATTATGGGACACTTTGAAAACAGTGCTAAGAGGGAAGTTCATCGCACTAAGTACCCACATGAAGAAACTGGAATATAGTCACACTAGAGAATTAACAGCACAAATGAAAGCTCTAGAACAACAACAACAAAAAGCAAACTCACCATGGAGGAGTAGATGCCAAGAAATAATCAAACTGAGGGATGAAATCAAATAAAGTAGAAACAATACATATATTTTTGTGACTTTGTTACGTTTTTCAAGATGGTTTTTCTAATGCCATCCATTTGCCTGCAAATTTCTAGATTCCATTTTTTCCCACTGAGTAGTACTCCATTGTGTAAATATACCACATTTTCTCCATCTTCAGTTGTGTGGCATCTAGGTTGCTTCCAGGATATAGCTATTACAAATAATGCTGCTATGGGCATTGTGCTTTACTTTGCCATGTCACATATAGTTTGCATACACTTAAAATAGGACTACATATTAGATTAAAATAAATTTATTGAAAGAAAGCAATAGCTAAATAAACATCAACTGCAGAGGACCCTGTTTCACATAATGAAACAGACAACTCTCTGATCTGAGGGTTGCTGGACTTTCCTATCTGAGGACAAACATCCTTTCTTCTGGTAGTTTAAGAAAAAAAGAACAAGCACACACTTTCTTGATGGTAACCTCCTCGTCTTTTTCTTGACAAACTCTCTTGACATAAATAAGTCTCCATCCTTCTCAGTTACATATTTCTTTTCTTTTTTTTTTGTTTTTACGAGACAGGGTTTCTCTGTATTGTTTCAGGGGCTATCTGTCCAGCCCGGCCTCGAACTCACAGAGATCTGCCTGCCTCTGCCTCCCGAGTGCTGGGATTAAAGGCGTGTGCCACCATGGCCCGGCTCTGTTACATATTTCTACCTCTGTTCCATAAAGCTTCATCTTCTTGCCTCCACACAGCAACAACTATACAGGAGCTCTTTCACACAGTGCACTCTCTCTCTCTCACACACACACACACTTCTATCTCATCATTCATTTTTTACTCATTCTCACACTTCTCTCATACTTCTCCTTCATCTCTCATACTTCTCTCTCCCATATCCTTACACACTTCCTCCCCTACACCACCACCTCCCCTATCTCTCTACATAACCACTGGGGCTGTCTCAGCAGTTCTCACAGCCAAACTCTGGATAATAATAAGTTACATTTTAAGGGCCCAACCCATTCTCAAAACCCAAAATAAGTCACACAGTTTCTCTTAGGCTAGAAATGTGACATTGACCAGCATGTGAGCAACCTCGGCCTTGCATACAGTTTTAAGTTGGTGAGGGTTCCCATACAGCAAACAATTGATTGAACTTTGAGATTGCTGCATGCAAAGGTCCATTGTAGCAGGGAGTTGATTCTAAAGAAACTTCTATTCTGACCTTGATCTACAAAACAACACTTGAGAAAATGAACTTGTGTATTTGTCTATAGGAGCAACCAGATATTGTGTTCAGGGACAACCTTCCTGTTTTATCTCTGCCCCGAATTCCAAAGTTAGCTGTTTGTGTAAAAACTGTCTTTATGACTGAGAATCCTGTTAGTCTGAGTAATGTAAAATATAGGCAGAATTCATCTTCTTGACCATCCACAGCTAACTGTATGTCCAAAATGTGTAAAACACATCACCAAAGGGCTGTGGATATAACCCCATAGCTGTTCATATTAGGGAAGTATAGCAGCAGCACTTGAGAAAACCATGAACAGAAGAAACAACCAGCCGTCCAGTCAATAACCCCACAGCTTTGCCAAGTGGGGCTCCCCAAGTGGGTTGACTTGTTGTCACTGCTATACAATCCCAGGGCCCTCTGCAGTTTATGTTTATTTATATATTGCTTTCTTTCAATAAATTTATCTTAATCTGATTTGTAGTCCTATTTTTAAGTGTAAACAAACTATATGTGATATGGCAAAGTAAATCACAATGCCCAAAGTGAAAGTCTCCAAATTTAGCTAACCATTCCCAAAGCTAAACTGCATATTTTACCATTGTTATTCGAGATGAAATCCTGACTGATTTAGTGATATTAATGTGTAACTGACACGACATCTTTATTTTTATAGGATTTTGTGTTATATATCGTCAAAGGAAGGTAATAATTTTATGTTTTCTCTTAAATTATTATATTCATATAGTGTGACTTTTATTATCTTCATTAACTATCTCTTATAAAACACACCCAGCCTCCCATTGTGAAGAGAGGTTCTGTTCCAACTGATCCATCACCAGCAGTGAAGTGTGGACAAGAATTCCCATCAGGTAAATAGTGGGAGACTGTTTCCTCTGGAACAATTATTTTAAAACATTTGAAATTGTCATATTCATAGGATTCCTGTATCTAAGGCTCTGGTTACCCATATGGCTGGAAATTGATCTATTCAACTTTAACATCATTTTATAATAGGTGGCTATGATATTAACACTAATTTAAAATGCTAGGTATAAATAAGTATTTCCAATTTTATGGATCAGCATATCTGTATTTCCTCTTTGAAACCTTAATTATCTTTTACATGACTTTAGTTTGAAAAACAAAAAACCTCACTCATTTTTTGAAGCTAAAAACTGTTTATTATACATATTGTGTGGTGGTCTGTGCCTGTACCTGAGGCATGTGATTTCTTTATGTTCAATTGTCTAGATAGATCCTGTACACAAAGAATTTGTGAATTTAGTTATATGTGTGCTTTGTTTTCACTTGATAATGCATTCTGTGAGGTATAGTTTGCAGTCTATTATAGCCTCTTATTATTCACAGTATCTGGTATGTAAATGGAATATATGTGATGCAATATGATATATTATGTCCTGCCTTTTCCTAACCTGCAAAAGAAATGTGTTTCATAAAGTATTCAATGATTTTTCACAAACATTTATTACCGCCACTATATTCATATGTCCTTGTTTGTTCAATTGATTTTCATCTTTTTGTTGAATGTTCTCTTCCACTTTGTTTGTGTATTTATTGAGCAGCAAGCGTAGGAAATTGTCTGCAGGGCTTTCCACATGCTTTTCATACCTCAATCATTAAAGTGAACTTTACTTAATTTCCCCATGATCCAGTTACACATAAGATGTGCATTTTCATACAAACTTAAATGAATTCAATCAATATAGGTGTATGAGACAAAAAGGTCAATCTGCATACATATAACGTACTCCATGCAGTAAAATCACATCCTATTTGATAATGTAATGACAACATATAGTCACTAAGTAATATCTATTTATATTTATACTCATCAATTTATGTTTTCTTCATTGTTTTCTAATCAAGTTCTAGGAGATATGTTTAAAGCATTCTTTGAATTAAAGATTACATCATTGTTATAGACATTAATTTGCTTCAATATTATTTATCTCCATTTCCATCCATGCCACTTCTAGTCATTGTTATCCTCATATTAGAAAGCCTGTTCAGCTGCACAATCCATCAACCCACAGTGTATGTTATTTTCAGTACCTTAGTAATTCATGAAAATAGCAATATATGGATTGCTTTTGACAAATCATCAGTGTTTTAGGTATACATTTTTATTGATTGTTTTAGGCACAAAAATAGTCTCTAACATTATGACAATTCACAAATATATAGTATTATTTATTTTTTCATCTTTGTGTTGTCATAGTAGCCTGGAAATTCCTCCATGATACTTCAAGTTTTATTTTGTTTTGTTTTGAAATTTTTTTCATTATTTTTATTACATTTTTTAGAAAAGAGCTAGCTTCACATGTCAATCCCAGCTCACTCTTCCTCCCCTCCTCCCGCAGCCCCCACCATCCCCCTCAGCCTCCCACCCTATTCCCACTCCCTTCCACATAGGGGATATCCAGAGTATTTCATTTGGTTCAGGGCAGAGTTTAGGACCTCCCCCAAGAGTCCAGGCTGAGAGAGCATCCCTCTTTGTGTTATGGATAACACGAAGTCCATTTGTATGCCAGGGATGAATACCGATCTTCCACCCAGGGCCCCATAGGGTTCCCAGGTCTCTTCACTGACTCTCACCATAAAGGAGTCTGGATCAGTCCCATACTGTCCTCCCAGCTGTGGGTCTGGGGTCCAAGAGCCCCACACCTTGTTCAGATCAGCTGATTCTGCTGATTTTGCCAGCCCATTCTTTGAGCATTGGCTCATCACTTCTTTCTCTCTGTCACTGTGTTCCAGGGGTTCAGTTCAGTGTTTAGCTGTGGATGTTTTCCTCTGCTTTCATCAGTCACAGGATGAAGGTTCTAGAATGGCATATATATTAGTCTTCATGTTCATTATCAAGAATGGGCATTTAAGGTAGTGTCTCCACTATTGCTTAGTTTGCCAGTTGGTGTCATTTTTGTAGATCACTAGAGGTCTCACTGGTGCCAGATCTCTCTTCAAACTTATACTGACTCCCTCTTTAATGGTATTTCTCATCCTGTCCTCCCTCTGTTCTTCCCCCAAATCAACCTTCTTGCTCCCTGATGACCTAATCTCTCTTCCTCTTCTCCTCCTCTCTTCTTCCCAGCTCCCACTCTGCACCTACCCCCTGCTGTGCTCTCAATCTGTTCAGGCGATTTGCCTCATTCCTCTTCTCTGTGGTACCACTCATTTCTCTCTTAGGGTTTTTCTGTTTCCTAGACTCTCTGTCAATAGAATTGCAGACAGGCACTCCCCTGATCCATGTCTAAAATCCATGTATGAATGAGTACATACCATGTTTGTCTTTTTGTGACTGGGTTACCTCCCTCAGGTTGGTTTCTTCTAGTGCTATCATTTTCCTGCTAATTTCAAGATTTCATTTGTTTTATTTTCCGCTGAATAGTACTCCATTGTGTAAATATACCGTATTTTCTTTATCCACTCTTCAGTTGAGGGTCATCTAGGTTGCTTCTAGGTTCTGGCTATTACAAATAATGCTGCTATGAACGTAGTGGAACAGAAGTCTTTGTTGTATGAATTTGCCTCTTTTGGATATATGCCTTAGAGTGGATTGCTGGTTCTTGTGGTAGATTGATTTTCATTTTCCTGAGGAATCTCCATACTGATTTCCAAAGTGGGTGTATGCATTGGCACTCCCACCAGCAATGGAGTGTTCCCCTCTCTCCACATCCTCTCCAGTATAAATTGTTGTTGGTGTTTATGATTTTAGCCGTTCTGACAGGGGTCAGATGGTATCTCAGAGCTGTTTTTTGATTTGCATTTCCCTGATGGCTAAGGCTGTTGCGCGCTTTCTCAAGTGTCTCTCAGCCATTTTAGACTCCACTATTGTTAATTTCTATTTAGTTCTATTCCCCACTTTTTAATTGGATCCTTTGATGTTTTGGATACTTGCTTTTTGAGTTCTTTGTAAATTTTGGAGATCAGCCCTCTGTCAGATATGTGGTTAGTGAATATCTTTTCCCATTCTGTGGGCTGCCTTTTTTTCTTGTTGACTGTGTCCTTTGACTTGCAGAAGCTTCTCAGATTCAGGAGGGCCTATGACTTGATTATTTGCTCTTATCTCTCACTCATCTGCGGTATATTTTCAGACTGATTTGCTGCCCATTTAACATTTCTTTGCTACTTTGCTACCACATTTTGACTTCTAGTTCTACTGTAATTCATAATTCTCACAAGTCATAATATCCAATTCCTCTGAAAAAAAAAACCCATCCATGTTAGCTCTTCTTACACTCTTTAAATTCAAAACCTACAATCTATTCTGGTATCAGTAATCAACTACTGACTTTCTGAACTCAAGGCAGTTTGCACAAAGTTGAAACAATTATCTTCACTCAATAAGAAAACCTGTAATTGAATCTTTTACACATTAGGTTGCATTGAAGTGGATAAATCACCAACAGCATTTTGATAGCAACATATATTTTTCTAGGGGAAAAGAGACATGACAAAACCTGACATGCTAAGCTGACCTTGTAAGAGAAATGTTTTATTTCACATTTTCATATTTAAAACAATGTATCAATCACATGAGAATTGTACAATGTACAATGAATTAAGTGTAAAGGGATTGACAGAAGTTTTAAAAGGAGAAGACAGCTTTCTTTTCCTAAAGGAATTTACTATTGGAAGGTATACAATAGTTTCAGAATCCTTGTAAATTTTCAATTGTGTTTTTGAAGATTATGTATGTTGGGCACAATAATATATGTATAAATATTAGACATGTCTATGTACAAAGGTGGAAAATTTTATATTGTAAATATATACTTCTTGAAGTTCTTGGCAATTATATTTTATACATAAGCAAATACACTTAATATTAATAAACTTTAATGTCATAAAATAAAAATTTAACTTTCACAATAAATAAAACTTAATACTTGTATTGTTGTAAAGACTTATATATATTAGAAATGTTACTTTTAGTTTATTTTAATTATATCCATAATTACTCATTTCAATAGAAGAAGACTCGAAAATGGAAACAGACGATTTTCAGGAATTACTTGATGACAATGAAAGTATCCAATCATATGTATGTAAGCCTTAATTTTGAAATTTCTGCTTTAATATTGCTTTATAAACAGCTTTGTAAATTTAAATTATCACAGGCTAAATTAAATATTCCTCTATACAGGTATTTATACAAAATACTTCAACGCTTAAATTTTTATTTTTAAGCATTTGAGTAGTTGAAATTTTTGAATATTTCTTTTTTTTTTTTTTTTGGTTTTACGAGACAGGGTTTTTCTGTATTGTTTTGGAGACTGTCGGTCCAGCCCGGCCTCGAACTCACAGAGATCCGCCTTCCTCTGCCTTCCGAGTGCTGGGATTGAAGGCGTGTGCCACCACTGCCCAGCTGAATATTTCTTAAATTATTACATACATAAATTTTCTCTTGAAAATGTTACTATTAATTGTTATCCCACACATTTTCTTCCTTATTGTTTTATTATAAAGTCTAAGAGAATAGTGTATTTGTTATTAGTAAGCACTTGAATTGTGAGCACAATTCTCTATTACTGCCTTGACCCTCCTTTTGTTATGTTCCAAACAATCACTTCATAACTTATTATTTTAGTTGACTGAGGAAAAGTGGACAAAATGACAAAATTATAATGCAAAAATGTTAGTTAACATTAGAATGTTAGATCTTGTCCTAATACCAATACATAATGCAAGTATTTGACACTATTTGTCTGTACTTGCACAAAACTGATAGATAAGTGTCCTGTGGAAGGAGATTGTTTCATGCTTGAGGTCTCCCCAAAGCCATTTTCCTCCCCTCCACGCCGATGAACAGTTTCTCACCAGTTCTTATCTAAGTAGAGACAGAAGACACATATAGAATTCTTCTCCCATCAACTTCAGCTATTATTTAGTTATTGAACATCTGAGACCTGACAGGTAGTGAGACAGCAGGTATAATAGATAAGACTGTTTGGTGCAGTTGAATGAAATAACAATGGTTTTAAGTACAAGTAACACTGACCTTGTGTCTCTGGAGAAGTTTTCTTTAATAATGGGAATCAGAGTAAGACTGTGGCTTTACATTGAGGGGAAACCTTTCTGAATTGCCAATAAAGCTACTTTGTAAAAGAAAAAGCAGCATTATGGGTAAAGAGGATAGAAATCTATGCCTGTTTTTAATCCAATCTTTAGATACCAAGATTGTAAAGGAGCTGGGATTCAGATAACCAAGCTTTATGTATCTTTTATTCCTGGAAGGGGAGGGAAATGTGCTATTATACTCTGGGTTAATTTAGATAAGTACAAAATATGTTCTGATTCCCTTTTCATGAATATTTGGCAATTTTAAAAGTATTTCTGGTTCTCTCTCTCCTCTCTATTTTCCTCTCCCTCTGCTCTTTTCCAGATCTCTTCCCATTCTCTCTTCCTCTTGTTCCCCTGGGGCAGACAGGACTTTTCCTGTCTCCCTCTTCTCTTCTGTCCTCTTTGTGTCTTTGTGTCTCTTTACCTCTTTTCTCTTTCCTTCCACCCCTCCCCTTTCTAATAAAACTTCTCACTTAAAAAATATTTCTTGGGAAACACTTCTATACTGCACCTAAAATATCCACTCTAATGAAAATGCAAAAAAAAATTCTATTTTATTTGTAATTACATTCAACCAGTTCATAACAATCAAAGACAAAGCGGCCATCTTTTCAAGAGGGGCCAGGCATATGGGCAAGGTTGGAGGGAAGAAAAGGAAAGAATAAAATAACATGAATATATTTAAATTAAAATTTAAAAATGAAAACATTTCTCATATTATTCTGTTCTCATTTATGTTATGTACATACATGTTTAGTAAAGAATAAATATTTAGAATACACACATAGACTCTCTTGAAATATATGTGACTTAATATATTCATATTTTTGTGTATGCTTTTAAAATGCTTATTTTAATTCCAAGAGACACTATTAAAATTAGAAGGCATGTATTTTGTCCCAAAGTGATTATATTTCCTCATTCAATTCACATTGATTTTGATTTTACCAGAATTCTGCTATGTGTCTTCAACCAGGAACTAGTCCTTATTTATCATTAGGACTAACTCAAAAGCCCATGAATCTTTCAAATGAAGGAGGGAAAGGTAAGAATGATGCTTCATCACTAAGCAATTTCAAATAATATTGATGAAAATCAGGGTAAGCAATATACTGTAAGCTAAAAGTGTTGTCTATAATAGGTGCTTTAAGAAATAATAATGGCTGGATGGTGGTCATACACACCTTTAATCCCAGCACTTGGGAGGCAGAGGCAGGCAGATCTCTGTGAGTTTGATCTACAAGAGCTAATTCTAGGACAGCCTCCAAAGCCACAGAGAAACACTGCCTTGAGACCCCCCAAAACGAAATAACAATTTATTATGTTGTAATAAATTATGCTTCACGTGGATTTTAATACTATTTTTTAATTTTTGTCTGATGAAAGCTGAATTATAAAAGTAGGTGCTATCCATTTTTTAAATTGAAACTAGATTATTCTTTCATACAGTTTCCATCCTTTTACTTCTCTCCCAGTTCTTCACCTTCCTTCTTTCCCCAGTTTCATCCCCCACCCCGTTTCCTCTTCAGAAAAGAGCAGGTTTCCCAGATACAACAGGAAAGCAAGACAAAATAAGCTCCAATAAGAAACAACAAAAGCCCTCCTATGGAAACTGCCAAGAAAGGCAACCCAATAGGAAGAAAAGAGTCTGAAAAGCATTCAAGAGTCAGAGAAATATCTTCTCCCAGTGTTAGGAGTCCCACACACAAAAAAAACAAGCTAGCAGCCTTAACAGAATGGCAGAGGACCGGTTGCTGACTGATGAATACCCCATTCAGACCCCATATGTAGTTACCTTGTCCAGTCATCTGTAAAGAGAAGCTTTTTCTTTGAGAGGAGCCTTCCCACCAGCCTAGTTCCAGAGCTGCATCAGTCCCAAATAAACACACAGGAGGCTATATTAATTATGAAGCTGTTGGCCTTGCTTGTTTGTTGCTGGCTAGCTCTGACTTAAGTAATTATCCCATAATTGTTAATCTAAGTATGTTTCTTACCAGAGAAGTTCCGGGCTTCCTACCCCATGGCGGTTACATCTCAACTCTCCTTGTGTTTCTCCTTCCCAGAGTCCTCCTGGACTCCTAGTCCCACCTATCTAGATTCCCTATTGGCCAGACAGTGCTTTATTGACAAATGCACAGGACTTCCCCAAAGGTCATCATTATAGAGGCTTCCTTCAGCAGTAAGCAGATGGGAGCAGGCACAGAGATAGGCAGGCAGGCATAATAGGAGTCACAGGGATAACAGACACCAGTAGAATGTGGCCCACTGAATCAACTAAGTAGACAGTATTTTTTAACTGAAGATTTTCAAGATAGAAGTGTTTGGAAACGAGATGGGAAATAAATATTAAAATAATAGAGAGGTAGAAATGAAATGATGTGGAATAAGTATTTAAAGTGCAAGCTGTGCAAATGACACTTAGAAAATGGACTTCACTTTTGAAGTAATGGAGGAATACAGTGTGAACTAATAGAAAGGAAACAGAGCTCAGTGCAATCCTTCAAACCTTTATTTGTAGAAAGTTAGATTCTACAGTCTAGTTCTTAGCAGAGTGTTTTTAGATATATTGCAGATGTCACATGCTTCTGTCTCCCAATGCAATGACATAGTTTAAAGTCATGCATAGTGTTGCTTTTCTTCATGAGCTGTCATTTTGTTTAAAATATGAACATCACAAAGAAGTGAGAATTGATCGGTACTGCCATCAGCATATTTCAAGTCAGTATAATAGTTTCACCATAATTTCAAAATAATTTATTGCTTTTTGTGGTTTTTTTGCTTTTTTAATTTTTATTTTTTCTTATTTTTAAATTTAAATTTAGATTAGAAACAAGGTTGCTTCACATGTCAATTCCAGGTCCCTCTCCCTTTCCCTCCCTTCCTCCCACACCCTCTCACCAAGCCCTCCAATACCCCTCATTTCCCCAGGGAGGGTGAGGCCCTCCATGGGGGTGTCCGTAGCCTGTCATTTCATCCAGGGTAGGACCTAGACCCTATTGTTTTAAAACCTCGCCATATAATAATCAAAACATCAAACCTACAGAGCAAAGAGAAAATATTAAGAGCAGCTAAAGAAAAAGGCCAAGTAACATATAAAGGCAGACCTATCCGAATTACACCTGACTTCTCAATGGAAACGATGAAAGCCAGAAGATCCTGGTCAGATGTCCTACAAACGCTAAGGGAACAAGGATGCCAGCCCAGACTACTATATCCAGCAAAGCTCTCAATTACCATAGATGGAGAAAACAAAATATTCCATGACAAAGCCAGATTTAAACAATACGTATCCATGAATCCAGCTCTACAGAAAATGCTAGAAGGAAAACCTAGAGCCAAGGAAGATAACTACATTCACAAAGACACAGGCAATATAGAATCATACTTTACAAAACACTAAAAGAAAAAGGGAGGAGAAACTACACAAAATAACTTCACTAACAATAAATCAAGCGCAAACAAGGATCACCAATCAATGGTCATTAATATCCCTCAATGTCAATGGCCTCAACTTACCTATAAAAAGACACAGACTAGCAGAATGGATACGAAGACAGAACCCTTCCTTCTGCTGCATACAAGAAACACATCTCAACACCAAAGACAGACGGTATCTCAGAGTAAAGGGCTGGGAAAAGATCTTCCAATCAAACGGCCCCAAGAAACAAGCGGGTGTAGCAATCCTAATATCTAACAAATTAGGCTTCAAATTGAAATCAATCAAAAGAGATGAAGAAGGGCACTTCATATTCATCAAAGGAAAAATACATCAAGACGAAGTCTCGATTTTAAATATCTACGCCCCAAATACAAAGGCACCTACATTCGTGAAAGAAACATTACTAAAGCTCAAAATGCACATAAAATCTCACACACTAATAGTAGGAGACTTCAACACTCTGCTCTCACCGCTAGATAGGACCTCCAGACAGAAACTTAACAAAGAAACAAAAGAATTAATAGAAGTTATGACCCAACTGGGTTTAACAGACATCTATAGAACATTCCACCCAAATACAAAGGGATATACCTTCTTCTCGGCACCACATGGAACCTTCTCTAAAATTGACCACATAATAGGAAACATAGCAAATCTCCACAGATACAAAAAAATTGGAATAACCCCCTGCATCTTATCAGACCACCATGCATTAACATTAGAATTCAACAATAACACAAATCGCAGAAACCCTACAAACTCATGGAGATTGAACAATGCACAATTGCACCATCCCTGGGTAAAGGAACAAATAAAAAAGAAATTAAAGACTTCCTCGATTTCAATGAGAATGAAGACACAACATACACAAACTTATGGGACACTTTGAAAGCAGTGCTGAGAGGAAAGTTTATAGCACTAAGTGCCCACATGAAAAAACTGGAGAACAGTCATACTAGAGAATTAATAGCACAGCTGAATGTTCTAGAACAAAAAGAAGCAAACTCCCCCAGGAGGAGCAGACGCCAGGAAATAATCAAATTGAGGGCTGAAATCAATCAAGTAGAAACCAGGAAAACATTGAGAAGAATCAATGAAACAAAGAGTTGGTTCTTTGAGAAAATCAACAAAATAGACAAACCTCTGTCCAAACTAACCAAAAGACAGAGAGAGAACATGCTAATTAACAAAATCAGGGATGAGAAAGGGGACATAACAACGGACTCTGAGGAAATCAAGAGAATCATCAGGGCATACTTTGAAAATCTGTACTCCACAAAATTTGAAAATTTAAAGGAAATGGACAATTTCCTGGATAGATATCATTTGCCAAAACTAAATCAAGAACAGATAAATAATCTAAACACACCTATAACCCCTAATGAAATAGAAGCAGTCATCAAAAGTCTCCCAAACAAAAAAAGCCCAGGCCCAGATGGCTTCAGTGCAGAATTCTTCCAGAAATTCAAAGAAGAGCTCATTCCAATACTCGTCAAAGTATTCCACACTATAGAAGCAGGAGGCTCACTGCCAAACTCTTTCTATGAGTCTACAATTACCTTGATACCCAAGCCACACAAAGACACAACTAAGAAAGAGATCTATAGACCAATTTCCCTCATGAACATTGATGCAAAAATACTCAATAAAATACTTGCAAACCGTATTCAAGAACACATCAGAAAAATCATCCACCATGATCAAGTAGGCTTCATTCCAGGAATGCAGGGATGGTTCAACATTAGAAAATCTATCAACGTAATCCACCATATTAACAATCTGCGAAAGAAAAACCACATGATCATCTCACTAGATGCTGAAAAAGCCTTTGACAAAATCCAGCACTCCTTCATGATAAAGGTCCTAGAGACATCAGGGATAACAGGAACGTACCTGAATATAATAAAAGCAATATACAGTAAACCAACAGCTAACATCAAACTAAATGGAGAGAAACTCAAAGCAATTCCTCTAAAATCAGGAATAAGACAAGGCTGTCCACTCTCTCCATATCTCTTCAATATTGTACTTGAAGTTCTAGCTACAGCAATAAGACAACAAAAGGAGATAAAGGGGATACAAATAGGAAAAGAAGTCAAACTTTCATTATTTGCAGATGATATGATAGTTTACATAAGTGACCCAAAAAACTCCGCAAGGTTACTCCTAGAGCTGATAAACACCTTCAGCAATGTGGCAGGATACAAGGTAAACTCAAAAAAATCAGTGGCCCTATTATATACAGATAATGAAGTGACTGAGAAAGAAATCAGAGAAACATCACCTTTTACAATAGCCAAAAACAGCATCAAATATCTGGGGATAATGTTAACCAAGGAAGGGAAAGACCTATATATCAAGAACTTTGTGTCTTTGAAGAAAGAAATCAAAGAAGATACCAGAAAATGGAAAGATCTCCCATGCTCTTGGATTGGTAGGATCAACATAATAAAAATGGCAATCTTGCCAAAAGCAGTCTATAGATTCAATGCAATCCCTATCAAAATTCCATCACAATTTTTCAAGGACCTGGAAAGAACATTAATCAACTTTATTTGGAAAAACAAAAGGCCCAGGATAGCCAAAACATCCCTATACAATAAAGGAACTTCAAGAGGCATCACCATACCTGACTTCAAGCTCTATTATAGAGCTATAGTCCTGAAAACAGCTTGGTATTGGCACAAAAATAGGCAGGTAGACCAATGGAACCGAATCGAAAGCCCTAATTTTAACCCACACACCTATGAACACCTGATTTTTGACAAAGAAGCTAAAACTGTACAGTGGAAAAAAGAAAGCATCTTCAACAAATGGTGCTGGCATAACTGGGTAGTGGCATGCAGAAGACTGCAGATAGATCCATGTTTATCGCCTTGTACAAAACTTAAGTCCAAATGGATCAAAGATCTCAACATACATCCAGCCACACTGAAACTTTTAGAAGAGAAAGTGGGAGATACTCTTCAACGAGTTGGTACAGGAGACCACTTCCTAAACATAACACCAGTGGCACAGGCACTGAGATCAACAATTAACAAATGGGACCTTCTGAAACTAAAAAGCTTCTGTAAGGCAAAGGACACAATCAAAAAGACAAAAAGGCAGGCCACAGAATGGGAAAAGATATTCACTAACCCTACATCTGACAGAGGGCTAATCTCCAAAATTTACAAAGAACTCAAGAAACAAGTCTCCAAAATACCAAAGGATCCACTTGAAAGGTGGGGTACAGAGCTAAATAGAGAATTCTCAGTAGAGGAGGCTAAAATGGCCAAGAGACACTTAAGAAAGTGCTCAACATCCTTAGCCATCAGGGAAATGCAAATCAAAACAACTCTGAGATACCATCTTACTCCTGTCAGAATGGCTAGAATCAAAAACACCGAAGACAATTTATGCTGGAGGGGATGTGGAGAGAGAGGAACACTCCTCCACTGCTGGTGGGAATGCCAACTCATACAGCCTCTTTGGAAATCAGTATGGAGATTCCTCAGGAAAATGGGAATTAATCTACCACTAGACCCAGCAATTCCACTCTTAGGCGTATATCCAAAAGATGCCCATTCATACAACAAAGATGTCTGTTCCACTATGTTCATAGCAGCTTTATTTGTAATAGCCAGAACTTGGAAGCAACCTAGATGCCCCTCAACTGAAGAGTGGATAGAGAAAATGTGGTACATTTACACAATGGAGTATTACTCAGCAGAAAAAAATAATGGAATCTTGAAATTCGCAGGGAAATGGATAGCACTGGAAGAAACCATCCTGAGTGAGGTAACCCAGTCGCAAAAAGACAAACATGGTATGTACTCACTCATATATGGATTTTAGATATGGATCAGGATAGTGCCAGTCTGCACTTCCACAGATAGAGAGTCTGGGAAACAGGAAAGAACCTAAAAGATATGCATATATGCATAGTACCCAAGAGAAGAGGGTGGAGACAAGATCCTCTGAATGGATGGGGGAACAAGGCGAGGGGGGTAGTGGGACCTGGGAAGAATAGAGGGGGTAAAGAGGAAGGGAGTTGGTCATGGGGGAACAGGAAGTTGAGGGGGTGGGGGTAGAATAGGGGGAAGAGGGAATCATAGGATCGAAGACAGATCAGGCACCAGAGTGACCTCGAGTGATCTAAAGGTATAACATCAATTGGCAAGCTAAGCAATAGTGGAAGGACCACCTCGAATGCCCATTCCTGATAATGAACTTGATGTCTATAACTATCCGGGAGCCTTCATCCTGGGACTGATGGAAGCAGAGGCAAACACACAACTAAGCACTGAACTGAACCCAAGGAACCCAGTGACAGAGAGAGGAATGATGAGCAAATTGGCAAAGAATGGGCTGGCAAAACCAGCAGAGACAGCTGATCTGAACAGGGGAGTGCTCTTGGACCCCAGACCGACAGTGAGGAGGCCAGAATGGGACTGATCTGGACCCCCCAAATGTGAGTGTCAGTGAGAAGGCCTGAACAACCTATGGGGCTCTGAGCTGTGGATCAGTGTCTATCCCTGGTATACAATCTGTCTTCATGTGCCTATAGCACAAAGAGAGATGCTCTCTAAGCCTGGACTCTTAGGGGAGTGCCTTGACCCTACCAAGAGTAAAATGATAGACTCTAGACATCCCCTATGTGGAAGGATTTGGCAATAGGGTGGGAGGGAGGGTGGAAGGGGAGTGCGGGAGGAGGGGAGGGAGAGGGAACTGGGATTGACATGTAAAACAAGCTATTTAAAATTAAAATAAAAAAATTGAAGAAAAAACAAAAAAAAGACTAAACATAACTGAGACATTTAAACATTTTTATGGGTGCAAGTAGACTCATATTCCCATTTAGGAAACATAGTTTCTTATGGATTATCTTTGTTACATAAGGAAAGATCACACATTTGATAGATTAATAATATTTATGATGTTTGCGCCATGGTCTGTGCATATACATTGTTTCCTGGAAGGCTGAGGCAAGTAATCCTTTCCTAATAAGGAGTTTTCATGGATACTGTGTTATATACAAAGGTTCTATGTATTCAAGCATATGTGTCCTCAATATGGAAATTCATGCTATCAGTTGACTCCAGGTGACTTGTGTCCTATTTTGTGGTCTACCACATCTGTTGCCTCTTAATTTTCATTCTCTCTTGTATGTAATAGCAATTCATATATTGAGATGCAGTGAATCATGTTTCTTGCTTTTCTTTAACTTATAGTTGAAAGACTAAGTTTCACAAAATATCCTATTACTTTAAGAAATATTAACAACCAGCACTAAATCCATATTCTTATTTTTAATCTGTTTATTATTTTTGTCTCTTTTGTTTAATATTCTATTTTCAATTTATTTTTAGTTATATTAATTGTATGTCTTTCTCTGTTCATTGATACCTTACTGTGTAGATGAACATCTGACATATGTTCATGTTTGAGCATGGAATGCTTTATGATGCAGGTTGTCCATGGGAGTCCTTGTTAATTGTGTATATTTTGTACATCAGAAAATCTCCATTGGGAGGATAAGCTTATCTGAGCCTCAAAATAAGAAAACTAAAAATGTAATTTTTAAAATAATTCTTTATCTGTGGTTGCAAAGACTTCAAATGAAGAAATGTTATTTCTATTTTATTTTAACTGTATAAATTTTGATTGATTTCAACAGAAGTGAACATGCAGATGAAAGCAGATAACAACTTTAAAAATGTTGAGGAAATTGGGAGCACTCAGTCATCTGTATGTAATGTTACATTTGATTTCCCATTTAATATACATTTAATAAACAACCTACCACTGGCTAAATTAACTCTTCTTCTAGACAGCATTATAATGAATAGTATTAGATTAAAATTTGATTTTAAAACATTTAAATAGTTAGGGATATTGGATTTTCTTAAAATTTACATAAACTCAAAGCTAAAATTCCTGTGGTATTTGTTCCTGATATCTTTACTTATTGTCCTTTGTTTGGCCTTACTTTTTCCCCTCTTACATTATAGAAATTCAAGGAATATTCCTGAGCAAATAGACAATGAACAATGTGGCTCTGATGTCCTGTTGTTCTGCTCCTGGCAGGCGTCCAGACTTACTTTTTATTTCACTAAATGGACACAGTAGATAAAATCAAAATAATATTACTGGTATGACCTGTCTTTAGAATATAGTAGATCTGATTCCAGCTAAAACACACCATGTAGGTATTTGACATTGAACTTGTACTTTGCAGAAAACTGTTGGAAGACCTATCTTGTAGGAATAGAGTGATCTGAGCTTGAGATGTCATCAAAGTCATTCAATTCTATTAAGGTTTAATAGATTCTCAGACAGCCTTGCCATCATAACAGACATAGAAGTGACAGTCAAGTTTTGCTTATTTTCTTAGTCTTAAGTCATTTTTTAAATACGGACTATCTATGAAGTGTCATATGGCAATGAGTATTGCAGACATGGCTGAATGCTTTTCTTTGACAAGTAATCAGAAAACACATGTTAAGTGATTAACACAAATAATCCAGAAGATATAGCATTATTGAACACTTTTTAAGATTATTGAAGTTTTGTATTATTGTGGAAATCAGAAAGAATACAAATTATACTCAGAAAAAAAGCTTTTGAGTGTGGTAGGGAAACAGCCAAACATACGAGGAAAGACTTGGAAACAAAACAGTGTCATGATAGGTAAAGAAAAGACATACCTGTTTATAGTATGTCTTTATAACCTGAGATGGATCGGGACATATACATTTAGAGAATCAAGGCCATTTGCCATACAATTAAAAACAGTCTTTATTAAGAAAGGTTATATGCTTTCTTAATTTTAAGGAGCTATGCTTTTATAAATAGGAAATAAATTTATTTTGCTGTACCATGTTGGGAAGTCTTCATAGAACCAATCCACTGCTGATAATTTGCTTTTACCAGGGTACCATGGCAGATCTTCAACAATGGCATACTCCTCATTTACCAGTACAACCAATTTCAACACCTAGGAATCTACAAAATAAAGGACAGAAAGGTAAAGAGTGTGTCATCAACAAGTCATTTCAAAGAATTTTTATTAAAATTGGGGGAGTAATAATTTCTACCTTACTGAAATTTGCATAAGAAATATTTAGTCAGTAATAAGATGTATTAAGATGTAATACACTAATAATCTTGTGAAGTTTCCATTAAACTTTAAGTTGAGAGTGTCAAGATGAAAACTCAAATAAAACTACAGGATGGAGTATTTGTTACCTGAGGAATTTCAAGAATAAGGTAGTGGTGTGAAACCATGGCTGAGAGGTAGGGAAAAGGGTATTATTCTTTTTACCTTCATCACTTTTAGAAAGATAAAAATGATTGGAGGACTGCGTCTTAATGTAGCTCCTTTTATTTATAGCAAATTATCATAAATATATATGTCAGCTAAACATACTGACAATTTAATATCACATATAATATTGTTCCTTCCAGGATGCTGATATATAAACCACTATGAGAACATCAGATAGATGCAAGGAATTATAAGAGATGTCATCAGGATTTTAGTTTCCTGAGGTTCCATTTACTGATTGTTGGGGGTAGAGGCTATGCTAGCTATTGCAGTCCTACTTAGAACATACTTTTCTATGTCAGTGAGTTCAAGTATATGGCATACTTTCTCACCTGCCACATACAAGTTATCAGGTCTTATGTTGGGGTCTGCAATCCATTTGGAATTGAGTTTTGTGCAGTGTGAAACAAAAGAATCTCATTTCACTCTTCTAAATATAGCTATGAAGTTTGATCATCACCCCTTATTGAAGATGCTGTCTCCCCTCAATTTGCATTATTGGATTCGTTGTCAAGACAAATGGATGCAGGAGCATGGGCTTATTTCCGGTTCCTCAATTCTACTTCGTTTGTCAAGGGCTGTGTTTTTAAGTCAATACCATACTGTTTTTATTACTATAGCTCTATAGAATAACTTGCAGTCTTAAATGGTGATACCTCCAGATGTTCATTTATTGTCCAGGATTGTTTTGGTTATCATGGATATTTTGGGATTCTGAGTAGAAATTAAGAAAAAATTTCTCAACCACTGTAAAGAATTCATCGGAATTCTGATGAGCATTGCATTAAATATATAAAACATTCTTGTAATGGAATGGACATTTTAATAATATGAATCTTATCAAACCTTGAGCATGGGAGGCCTTTTCATCTTCTGGAATCCTTTTCAGTTTCCTTTTTCACTTCTTCAGGCATTTATTGTACCAGTTTTCATTTGTTTATGAGACATTTGATATTCTTTGTGGCAGCTGTAAATGGAATTGTTTCCCCTTTTTACTTTCATGGTATGCTTGCCATTCTGTATAAAGGTTACTTATTTTTAAAGTTAATTTTGCAATTTGAAAATGTAATGGATATATTTATCTGTTTCAAGTAGAGTCTTTTATGTTTTATGTATAGAATCATATCTACAAACTAAGATATTCTGATATTAGTCTGCAATTTGGGGGGACAAATGTGGTTTTCATGGTTTTAATGTGAGCATAACTGTGGCTTCTTAGAATGATTTGTGAAATATTGGATGCTATTTTCGCTCAAGTCCTGATAAAATTATTTTCTGGGACCATACTTCTGGACTTTTAGAGTTGAAAGATTTTAGATTAATGTTTCTACCTTATTTCACATTATTGGCCTATTTAAATTGCTGATTTCATCTTTATTTAGCTTTAGTGAAGCACATATATTAATCTGTTTATTTAGGTCTTTCCAGTTTGGTAGATTTTATATTATGTTATTATTTGAATTTCTTCAATGTCTGCTATAATGGCTCCCCTGTTCTTTATAATTTTATTAAGTTTGAATCTTCTCTCTCTACATTGTTTAATTCAGCTAAAAGTTTGACATCTCATTTTGCTTTTTAAAAGAACTAACTCATTTCTTTTTATTGATATTTAATGTCAACCCTTATTTTGATTATGTCTTCTCATTTACCTTTTTGAGTGTTGCTTGCTAGAGATTCCCCTAGGATTCTGGATACATTGTTAATTTATTAAGTTCAGAACCCTTGAACATTTGCATGTCCTCTTAGGACAGCCATCATTGTGTTTCATAGATTTTTCTATGTTGTGTTTTAATTCTAATTCAGTTTCAAGAATTTTAAATGTTCTTTTGAACTTAATTATGTTTAGTCAACTCATAACCTTGGAATCATTTAGTCAAAGACTTTGTCTTATTTTTACATGAGTATTATCTATATTTATGATGAAGCTTGGCTAAAGCACAAGTAAAATGATAATTGACAGTACTTCTGAATGCCAGGAATCTTTCCACCAGTGAAATCCTACATTAGTTTACCATTTTAGTTCTACATGGATGTCTGTATTACTTATGTATATTAGCATATAATTGAATATATCAATTTTTTAGTTTTTTGTAGGCATTACTCTATACAAGAGGTAATATGAAACAAACATCTGACACATCTTCATGCCTTGATTATGGAACTTTTATGAACTAAATCATTCTTATTAATTATATTTTCTATATCTGTATGTGTGGAGTAGAAAGTTAAGCTCAAATGACCACTAAAGTTAAAATATAAACACTATTTTCCATAATAAAAATTTTAACTTTATTCTTTAGATATAAATACTTCTTTCCAATATTATTCCTCATTTTGTTTTTAGTTTATCAAATTCATAAACAATCAACAGAGCCAGGATTACAAAAGAAGTCAGTGAAAAATCAAGACAATCTAGAGATCAATAAAAATACTCAACTATCTGTAAGTCAATATTAAATTTGAGTTGCTACTTAGGTATTTTCTTTCATAAAACAATTATTCATAGGCTAAATGAAATTTTCTTACATAAAAGGCTTTATATTGACTAGTCCATAATTAAAATTAATTTAAAAATGATTATGGTTAGAAACTTAGAACTTTCTTAGAATATATAGTAGTTCCTAACTAAGTTTCCTCTCAGATGTGTCTGTAAAATTTTTTCCTGTATACTTCCTTTCTTTGAAAAAAATTTAACCGAGGACTTAAATATATGAACAGTGATATACTTAACATCCAGTTATTCTATAGCCTTCAACATTTTTGTTTTTGAATGCCTATGCTTTTCTACATATGGAAAACATGTTTCATTTTGTTTAAGAATACTTTCTTTTTTTTCTTTTTTTATATTTTATTTTCCAGTTTAAATTTAGATAAGAAACGAGGTTGCTTCACAAGTCAGTTCCAGGTCCCTCTCCCATTCCCTCCCCTCCTCCCGTACCCTCCCCCCCACCCCACCCACCATTATCCCCTCATTCCTCCAGGGAGGGTGAGGCCCTCCATGGGGGTGTCCATAGTCTTTCATTTCATATAGGGCAGGGCCTAGACCCTTCCCCAAGAGTTCAGGGTAAGAGTGCACCTCACATTGTTCTATGGGAGTCCAAAGTCCGTGTGTATACTTGGGATGGGTACTGATCTGCTGCCCAAGGCTCAATAGATTCCCTAGGCCTCCTCACTGACACCCAGATTCAGGGGGTCTTGATCAGTCCCATGCTGGATTCCCAGGCTGATGCCTGGGATTCAAGAGTTAACCTTTGTCTGGTCAGCTATTTCTGGGGGTTAAACCAGCCCAGTCTTAATCCCTTTGATCATCAGTCCTCCCTCTCTGTTACTGGCTTTCTTGAGTTCAGCTCAGTACTTAACCAAGGGAGTCTGCCTCTAATTCGTTCAGCCACTAAATGAAGTTTCTGTTCCAAGACTCTCTGGCCATAGGATTGTAGGCTGGCACTCCCCAGATCTATGTCTAAAATCCATATATGAGAGAGTACATGCCATGGTCTCTTTTTGTGACTGGGTTACCTCACTCAGGATGGTTTCTTCTAGTGCCATACATTTGCCTGCGAATCTCATGATTCAATTATTTTTTTCTGCTGAATAGTACTCCATTGTGTAGATGTACCACATTTTCTCTATCCACTCTTCGGGTGAGGGACATCTAGGTTGCTTCCAAGTTCTGGCTATTACAAATAAAGCTGCTATGAACATAGTGGAACAGACATCTTTGTTGTATGAATGGGCATCTTTTGGATATACGCCTAAGAGTGGAGTTACTGGGTCTTGTGGTAGGTTTATTCCCATTTTTCTGAGGAATCTCCATACTGATTTCCAAAGTGGCTGAACCAGTTGGCACTCCCACCCCAATGGAAGAGTGTCCCCCTTTCACCACATCCTCTCCAGCATAAATTGTCATTGGTGTTTTTGATTTTAGCCATTCTGACAGGAGTGAGATGGTATCTCAGAGTTGTTTTGATTTGCATTTCCCAGATGACTAAGGATGTTGAGCACTTTCTCAAGTGCCTCTCAGCCATTTTAGACTCCTCTATTGAAAACTCTCTATTTAGTTCTGCAGCCCACTTTTTAATTGGGTCCTTTGGTGTTTTGGAGACTTGCTTCTTGAGTCCTTTGTAAATTTTGGAGATCAACCCTCTGTCAGATGTGGGATTAGTGAATATTTTTTTTCCCATTCTGTGGGCTGCCTTTTTGTCTTGCTGACTGTGTCCTTTGCCTTACAGAAGCTTCTCAGTTTCAGTAGGTCCCATTTATCAATTGTTGATCTCACTGTCTGTGCTACTGGTGTTATGTTCAGGAAGCTGTCTCCTGTACCAATTCGTTCAAGGGTACCACCCACTTTCTCTGTAAGAGGTTCAATGTGGCTGGATTTATGTTGAGGTCTTTGATCCATTTGGACTCAAGTTTTGTGCATGGCGATAAACATGGATCGATCCACATTCTTCTACATGCCAGTCTCCAATTATGGCAGCACCATTTGTTGAAGATGCTTTCTTTATTCCATTGTATATTTTTAGCTTCTTTGTCAAAGATCAGATGTTCGTACGTGTGTGGGTTAATACCCGGGTTTTCAATTCGATTCCATTGGTCTACCTGTCTATTTTTGTGCCAATACCAAGCTGTTTTCAGGAGTATAGCTCTATAATAGAGCTTGAGGTCAGGGATGGTGATGCCTCTGGACGTTGCCTTGTTGAACAGGGTTGTTTTGGCTATCCTGGGTCTTTTGTTTTTCCATACAAAATTGATTATTGTTCTTTCAAGGTCTGTGAAGAATTGTGCTGGGATTTTAATGGGGATTGCATTGAATCTGTAGATTGCTTTTGGCAGGATTGCCATTTTTACTTCATTGATCCTACCTATCCAAAAGCATGGGAGATCTTTCTATTTTCTGAGGGCTCTTTAATTTCTTTCTTTAAAGATTCAAAGTTCTTATGATACAGGTCTTTCACTTGTTTGGTTAGCGTTACCCCAAGGTATTTTATGTTGTTTGTGGCAATTGTAAAGGGTGATGTTTCTCTGATTTCTCTTTCAGCCCTTTTATCATCTGTATATAGTAGGGCTATTGATTTTCTTGAGTTGATCTTGTAGCCTGCCACTTTGCTGAAGGTGTTAATCAACTGTAAGAGTTCCCTGGTAGAGTTCTTTGGGTCATTGATGTAAACTATCATATCGTCTGCAAACAGTGAAAGTTTGACCTCTTCCTTCCCAATTTGTATCCCCTTGATCCCCCTTTGTTGTCATATGGCAATAGCTAGAACTTCAAGTACCATGTTGAAAAGGTATGGAGAGAGTGGACAGCCTTGTTTTGTTCCTGATTTTAGAGGAATTGCGTTGAGTTTCTGTCCATTTAGTTTGATGTTGGCTGTTGGTTTACTGTATGTAGCTTTTATTATGTTTAAGTATGTCCCTGTTATCCCAGATCTCTCCAAGACCTTTATCATGAAGGGGTGTTGGATTTTGTCAAAGGCTTTTTCAGCATCTAGTGAGACGATCATGTGATTTTTTTTTCAGCTTGTTTATATGGTGGATTACGTTGATGGATTTTCGTATGTTGAACCATCCCTGCATCCCTGGGATGAAACCTACTTGATCGTGGTGAATGATGGTTTTGATGTGTTCTTGGATCCGATTTGCCAGTATTTTATTGAGTATTTTTGCATCAATGTTCATAAGGGATATTGGTCTGAAGTTCTCTTTCTTAGTTGTATCTTTGTGTGGCTTGGGGATCAAGGTTATTGAAGCCTCACAGAAAGAGTTTGGCAAAGACCCTTCTGCTTCTATTATGTGGAACACTTTGAGAAGAATTGGTATAAGCTGTTCTTTGAATTTGTGGTAGAATTCTGCAGTGAGGCCACTGGACCTGGACTTTTTTTTGGTTGGGAGACTTTTGATGACAGCTTCTATTTCCATAGGGGTTATAGGTCTATCTATTTAGATTGCTTATCTGTTCTTGATTTAGTTTTGGCAAATGATAGCTGCCCAGGAAGTCATCCATTTCCTTTAAATTTTTGAATTTTGTGGAGTACACGTTCTCACAGTATGACCTAATGATTCTCTGGATTTCCTCAGAGTCTGTTGTTATGTCCCCCTTTTCATTTCTGATTTTGTTAATTTGCATGTTCACTCTCTGCTGTTTGGTAAGTTTGGACAAAGGTTTGTCTATCTTGTTGATTTTCTCAAAGAACCAACTCTTCGTTGCATTGATTCTTTGTATTGTTTTCCTAGTTTCTACTTTATTGATTTCAGCCCTCAATTTGATTATTTCCTGGTATCTACTCCTCCTGGGGGAGTTTGCTTCTTTGTGTTCTAGAGCTTTCAGCTGTGATGTTAATTCTCTGGTATAACTGTTCTCCTGTTTCTTCATGTGAGCACTTAGTGCTAGGAACTTCCCCCGTTGCACTGCTTTCAAAGTGTCCCATAGGTTTGGGTATGTTGTGTCTTCATTCTCATTGAATTCGAGGAAGTCTTTAATTTCTTTTTTTATTTCCTCTTTGACCCAGGGATGGTGCAGTTGACCATTATTCAATTTCCATGAGTTTGTAGGTTTTCTGCAATTGTTGTTGTTGTTGAATTCTAATTTTAAAGCATGGTGGTCTGATAAGATGCATGGAGTTATTCCATTATTTTTTGTTGCTGCTGAGATTTGATATGTTGCCAAGTATGTGATCGATACTTGAGAAGGTTCCATGTGTTGGTGAGAAAAAGGTATATTCTTTTTTATGTGGATGAAATGTTCTATAGATATCTGTTAATCCCAGTTGGGTCATTACTTCTATTAGACCCTTTGCTTCTTTGTTGAATTTATGTCTGGTATTCCTGTCTAGTGGTGAGAGTGGTGTGTTGAAATATCCCACTATAACTGTGTGGGGCTTTAGATGAGATTTAAGTTCTAATAATGTTTCTTTAACAAATGTGCATGCCTTTGTATTTGGGGCTTAGATGTTCAGGATAGACACTTCATCTTGGTGGGTTTCACCTGTGATGAGTATGTAATGACCTCCTTCATCTCTTTTGATTGATTTTATTTTAAAGTCTAGTTTGTTAGATATTAGGATTGCTACCCCTGTTTGTTTCTTGTGTCCATTTGATTGAAATTCTTTTCCCTAACCTTTAACTCTCAGGTAATGTCTGTCTTTGAGGGTGAGGTGTGTTTCTTGTATGCAGCAGAAGGAAGGGTTCTGTCTTCGAATCCATTCTGCTAGTCTGTGTCTTTTTATGGGTGAGTTAAGGCCATTAATATTGAGGGATATTAATGACCATTGATTGCTCATCCTTCTTCGATTTACGATGGTTGTTGTTGTTGGAATTATGTGTTGAATTTCACCCCTTTGTTCTTTTGGCTGTTGGTAGAGAGGGATTCTCTAATGCTTATGTTTTTCTGGTTGTAGTTAGCTTCCTTGGGTTGGACTTTTCCTTCCAAAATTTTCTGTAGGTCTGGGTTAATGGACACATATTGCTTGAATCTAGTTTTGTCATGGAATATCTTGTTTTCTCCGTCTATAGTGATTGAGAGCTTTGCCGGGTATAGTAGTCTGGGCTGGCATCCATGGTCTCTTAGTGTAGGTAGAATATCCATCCAGGACCTTCTGGCTCTCAGAGTTTCCATGGAGAAATCAGGTGTAATTCTGATAGGTCTGCCTTTATATGTTACTTGACCTTTTTCCTTAGCTGCTCTTAATATTCTTTCTTTATTCTGTATGTTTGGGGTCTTGATTATTATGTGGTGAGGGGATTTTTTGTGGTCCACTCTATTTGGTGTTCTGTAGGCTTCTTGTACCTTCATTGGCATGTCTTTCTTAAGGTTGGGAAAGTTTTCTTCTATGATTTTGTTGAATATGCCTTCTGCCCCTTTGAGTTGGATTTCTTCTCCTTCTTCTATACCTATTATTCTTAGGTTTGGTCTTTTCATGGTGTCCCATATTTCCTGGATGTTTTGTGTTAAGGATTTGTTGGATTTAAGGTTTTCTTTGGTTGAAAAATCCATTTCTCCTAGTGTATCTTCAACACTTGAGATTCTCTCTTCCATCTCTTCTATTCTGTTGGTAATGCTTGTATTGGTAGTGCCTGACTGTTTGTCCAGCTTTTCTATTTTCTGCCTTTCTTCAGATTGTGTTTTTTTTTTTAATATCTCTATTTCAGTTTTCAACCCTTGCAGTGTTTGCATTGCTTCTTGCAATTTTCTGTTTATCTTTTCGTCCGTTTGTTGCCTTTTATGAATTTTTTGGCTTGTTCTTTCTTCCATTACTTGCATTTTTTGGTTTGCTTTTTGTTCCATTTCTCGCATTTTGTGCTTTGTTTCTTCTTCCATTTTTTTCATTTATTGCTTTGTTTTTTTTCTTCCATTTCTTGCATTTTTTGGTTTGTTTTTTCTTCCATTTCTTTGAGGGATTTTCCTATATCCTCTTTTAGGGCCTCTATCATTTTCATGAAAGTGCTTTTAAGGTCATTCTCTTCTGCTTTGTTCGCATTGGAATGTTGGGGTCTTGCTGGTGTGGAGTCTCTAGAATCTGGTGGTGTCATATTTGTTTTTCTGTTGCTGACTGTGTTTTTGTATTGTCTCTTTCCCATCCCTTCTTCTAGTGGGTGCAGAAAGAGCCCCTTTCTGGTCTGGGGACCAGAGTTCCCTTTTGGTGGGTGCTAGCAAGTCCAATAATCTGGTGGTTCTTCTATTCCTTGTCCAAATGCTGGTCCCGTGGGTGGAGAAGAAGAAGAGGAATCTGGGGCGCTTAGCCTCCTACCTGGTCCCCTGGACCCTATGCTGGGTCCTGTTTTACCTGATCCGGAACAGCTACTCCCCTGGTCTCCCTGGCTCCTCTGGTTTCCTGGTCTCGTTGGTGGGAGAGAAGATCTGGAGTCTGGGGTGCTTGGCTCCCATTGGGATTGGGAGCTCTGTGCAGTTCCCAGGCGATCTGCAGGCACTGGAACACAGGCCAGGAAGCAGGCCTGTTTACCTGATGCTGCCGGAGGAACAGCTGCTTCCCTGGACTCCAAGCCTCCTCTCATTTCCTGGTCTCGTTGGTGGGAGAGAAGATCTGGAGTCTGGGGTGCTTAGGAAATCTGATGTTTATGATGAAGTCTTTGAAAAGTACTCATGGAATTTACTTATGTATTTTGTCAGGATAATGTTATGGATCTTCAACCCAGGAAGATACTTCATTCATCAACAGCACTAAGTCCACGATTCATAGATCTTAATGCAGGAGGAGGTAAGACTTCTATGTCATCAGCAAGCCATTCAAAGCATTGTTTTTATTTTGTTTTGTTTTTCGTTTATTTTAAATCAGGGAGAGAATTATATTTTACTAGCCCACCAATTTCATATTAAATGTTTAGTATGGGTTAAGACTTAGTCAGTGATAATGCCTTATACAGCTCATGAAATTTCAGTAACATTTTAGGTTGTTATTGTCGATATGAGTACTGCATAAGAAATACATGTAAATTATTTTTATCTGGATAATCTCAAGAAGAAAGAATTTGAACAGAAATTGGAAATGAAGATATGTTTTCATTGAATTATAGTAGTCAATGAACAGATTTTTTATGTATTGTTAATTAATAATTATGTTTAACATTTAATTTTAAAATTTGAATTCCAGTGTGCTTTATTTTATACTCATCTATTTTATTTTTATCATTACTATTCATTCTTCCCCTCGTATTTAGGTAGATCTTTCCTATTTTCAAAAAAGAATATGTGCCGTCACCAAAAAACTATATGAACCTCTTTCAAATGTATTTTGCATACTTTTGAAATTTATACATAAGTCTTTGCTATGTACTTACACTGTAAGTTATTGGTTCAAAATATTAAATACAATATTTTAGATGTTATACAAAATAGTTCCTATCATTAAGGAAATTCCATATATATGTAGTCTTTTGTATTATTTTTATTGCCTACTCACCATCTCCTGGTTTCCCCTTGGGTATTCTAGTCATTTTTCTTATAAATAACTACTCTTCATGATTTTATTGTCACACCTACAGTATTTTTATCATCCCCCCTTTTCCCTCATACCTCTCTTTGCCTCTTATAGTCCTCTTTCTACATGCATACAGTACAAAAACACAGAAATAATTCATTCCCTACCACAAATACAAATATATACCTTCACACACACTCATGTATTCCCTAGGCAGATTCATTCTAGACCTACACATGAACAGAAGAGCAAAAAATGTGCTTTTAAAAATATTATTCTAATTCTGACTTAGCTTGGGTGTAATGTCTTTTTTATCCGTTTTGCCATATGTTCCATGGTTTGTTTATTTTTATTGTGAATAAATTTGAAGAGTGGAGCTGTTACGCATTTCCTTACCTACTCATTCTTCTGGGATTCCAAGATGACTCACTGTCTTAGCTATTGTGACCACTGTGGGAATGGTATTTGATGGAAAAATATCTCTATAGTGTGCTATTCTAAACATCATGCTAGTCTGAATTGTTAGACAGTTGCTGTTTTTCCATTTTACTTGATACCATCAATCTGCAATTGTGGCCTTCTTTTCCCTCTGTTTTATAACTGATACATTTTCCATCTAAACTTTCTCTCTATTTTGCTCATGCATTCTTCAATTTTCATCTTACTATATTCCCCAACTTTCTAAATTTTCTGATTACGAGTACAAAATGCTACATCATTTTCAATCAGCTGCTAGAATCAGTGCCAATTTAGTAGGATTTTTGATTGTTTTGTTTTCTTTCTGGACTAGAAGACAGTTTATTCATAGATGAAATAGAGTAAAAAACACATTATATCTATAATGGTAAATTTCCCCCTTAAAGTAGGAAAAACTAAAAAATTAACAAACGTGACAATTTTTAAGAGAGTGATAATCAAGGTGACTTCAAATGCTACACTACATCAAAGAAGAATTTTTGTGTGAGAAGAGTAAATTGAATCATGTCATATTTAAGTTATGGGTATCCATGGAATGAAGGGTAAATAGTTGATACAGATTAGTAGAAGAACAGACATGAATTTTTCATCCTTATAATGTTACGGTTATAAGATTGTAAAATAGGTCTGAATATTTTTTGCAGCTCTTTCTAAAAGTGAGCTTATTCATGGCTACATGAATAAGTGGATGCATATTTGGCAAGTTTATGTCTGTACATTGAACCCTTTATGACCTGTATCATGTACTGAAGTTCTATATCGGTAAATATGCAGTTGAAGATTAAATATAATTAAATCATAAATCTGAAAATAATAATAATTTTCATTAGCTTTTACACAATTTTATTTTTGGTAATGCTTACTGCTTTCAAGATTTTATTCATAATCTATTTGAACTGAGTAAATACTAAATTCTTTCAACAGAAACAAAGTTACAAATGAAATCAGAGGAAAATCAGAAACATAATGATGGAAATGAAAACATTCAATCATCTGTATGTAAAAGTTTATTTGCTACATTTTAATCACTATTGTTTTATCTAGTAGACAAGGAAATATATGCAAAACACAGTTTTAAGCATATATATTTGGAATAAATATCACATAACTTAAAATTTAACTTTAAATATATTTAATTAGAAATTTTGTAGATTCTCTTGGAATCTTCAGAAGCCCATATTAGTTTTGCCATTTTTTCCTTATTTTTTTCCTAATTTGTCATTATTTTCCATTTATAAAATTTTAAGGTAAAATATGAAAATATGTTGTTAAAAGCTACTTGAAACAATCTTTTCTCATTTCATAGAGCAAACCCAGTTCCCACTCCCTCCCCTTTTCTCAATCTCCTCTCCTTCTCCCTACTCCTCCCCATCTGCTCCTCAGAGAGAATAAGGCTTTCCATGGGTAGTCATTGAATTATGACACATTTCTTTGAGGCAGGACCAAGCCCCTCTCCACTATATTTAGGCTGACAAAGTATCCATCCAAAGAGATTGTGCTCCAAAAAGCCAGTTCAAGCACTAGAGATAAACCCTGTTCCCACAGCCAGTGGCCTCACAGACTGCTCAAGCCACGTAAATGTCACCCACATTCAGAGGGCCCAGTTCTGTCCCATGTAGGTTCCCTAGCTGTCAGTCCACAGTCAGTGAGCTCCCAATAGTTCAGGTCAGCTGTCTCTGTGGGTTTGCACTTAGTGAAGTTTTACCTAAAATATTTAGGTATTCATTCTAGAATGAAACAGACATGAAAATATCATTGCATTATACTAAAAAATCATTCAGTCTATTAAGCCTGTGTTTTTAAAAATGACAAAGCATTGACAACCATATAAAAGTGCTTATAACCCACCATTACATAATGCAGATCAAAATTTATCCATACAGAATGAACTAAAAGCTGAGAAAATATCACTTTTTAATAATGAACAGCTATCATTTAATGTGTATTTGTCAAAACTCATATAAAATGCATGTTTTTTTTACCCCTTTCTGCTTTTCTCTATAATTCTCAACTTTTGATTTAAAAAGTAATCAGGAAGTAACATTACATGCTGAATATATTCCCTTATTCCTCATCCCTTCTCAGTTATCCAGCCACTCTATTTCCTCATAGTTCCCATTGTTCCCAAGAATGTCACTTCTAGTTATTTTTCCTCTATACATATACAATTTTATATATTTCCATAAAGTCTGAGTGCCTTGAAAAAGAGAAGACTTATAATATTTGCATTTCTGAGGCTAGATTAATGTGATCAACACAATTATCTACAGTAGCATGACATTTTCTACAAATGACATACTCCTCATTTTATCAACACGTTTTTCTTATGAAAAATATGATGCTATGCTATGTTTTGATTTTGAATTTATTTTCCCCTGCCTCCCATGTGATGTTTACATTTCTGCTTTATATGAGTTTTACCCTGGACTTCATCTCGATAGCATATATTATATACTTTTCATATATTTTATAATAATATACTTTTTTAAACTAAGAAATAGCGAAATACTTGATTTTTAAAATAGGAAATTAATTAATTTTTCCTATGAAGCAGTTGGAAAATCTTATAGCAACTTATTTTGATATTTGTTTTTCCAGGATAGTCTGACACATCCTCAACCAATACAAATCAGTCATTTATTGATGGGGCTAATTCCAAGACCAGTGAATATTAAAAGTAGACCAGGGAAAGGTAAGAGTTGTATGCTATTAGTATTTTAAAAAATACCTGTTTTATTTTGTTTTAAATCAGTATGAACCATACACTTATGATCCAAGAGTTGCTATTTTTAGATAGGTCATCTTCAAACCCTTCAGAGACCTACAGAATATAGCATTTAAGATGTTTTAATAACACCATTCTTTTCTAGTATTTATAACAATGAAACATGTCTGCTCTGGTAACAAAATCTTCATTGGAGAAGATGATGGGCATCAAAGAAACTCCACATGGAGTTTACTTTCTTTGTGGTAAAAGTTAGCCAATGGGCAAAAAAGTACTCTTGCTTCAACTGCTGATAGTATGCTGTCCACATTGGACAAGCAAGACACAAAAGAAAGGACTGCCAAACTTTGCCAAGACAAGGTAGGAAAGCCATTGAATATTCTGCTTCATAGAAAAGTCTATCATTTATGCTGGGCCTGTAGTCTGAAGATGGATTCCCGAACATTGTAGAGGCACCTTGGTTGACTGCCCAGGAAGCCAACTTTTTCTCTTATTTCTTACTTTTTCTTAGAAATTTCTTGCTTTCACTTCCTACTTCCTCAAGTACTATTTTTTTATTGTTGTTGTTCTCAGGTCTCTGATGGAGTTGAAGACTTTATAGTTATAGTTTTTCTTGTTATCAGATTCAGAAAAGAAATTCACTAAAGAAATAGAAAGATTATAATTAGATAGTTTTTTAAAGATAAGTTTGGTAATGAAATTTAGAAAAGAAAACGAATTAAGTATAAACTTTAGGACTCACCAAGATAGGATAGATGTGGAGTATTTTCAGACTTTGTCAATGGCCAATGGACTAGTCTTTGTTGATGTATTTATTGCCTGTATATATTGTATATAGTTACTGTACTTACTGTATATAGTTTTCTTATATTAGTTATAACCTTTTTTATTTTAGACAAAAAGGGAAAATGTGGTGATATTTTGTTTATTCTCTAACAAAAAAATCTTGCCTGAAGATCAGAGGGTGGAGCCTACTAATTAAACATAGATATCTAGAAATCTGTACAGACAGACAGGAAGTGATATGACTGGCCAGAGAGTGGAAGTGATAAGGTGGGAGGAGACAACAGCTTTGTCTCTTTCAGCTAGGAAGTTGAGGAGGTAAGGTGTTGATGTGGTTTGTTTCTTTACCTCTCTGATCTTTCATCATTTAACCCTATAGCAACTCTGGGCATTATTATTATTATTATTATTATTATTATTATTATTATTATTATTACTACTACTACTATTTTACAGCCATTCACATAACAATGTTATTTAAAATTCTGCTATTTCAAAAGATAGTGTCATATATGGCAAAAGAACAGAGTTGAAAGTAATTTCATAGTGTAGTCATGGAGAGTTCCAGAAATACTGAGAAGCCAGAGAATTTCCATATTTCAATTTGGAGGATATGATAAGGATGAACTCAAGGATATAGTCCAGTAACTTAATTGGTAATAAATAAAGGAACTAAAGCCAAGTCATTATTAAACAAGTCTCCTCAAACATCAATAAAAGGCCTGTGTGCACAATGAAAACAGAGTTTGTGCCAATCTCTGGGAGTTTAAGTTCTGTAAATGGTTGTATGAGGGGGTTTCTGCAAGTGTCATTGCAGGCAAGGAAGTAATTCGCACAGAGGTGAGACAGTCTGACATAGGTGCCATTTCCTGCTCCCATTTTCTCTCTTTCAAATTTATGGAAGTTTCACCAATATGGCTACCTAAACATATCCAGAACATGAGCAACACCAGTAGACATGCTAAAGCAAGCACATGAGGGAAAAGATTTCTCATAGATTCTTTTGGTATGAAGATGTTATACCAACTAACATATGCTAATTTACACACCAAAAACATTATAAAAGATCATCCTTGAATATTTAAACTGTTAATCATATGCTATAGCAGAACTACTTAACCTGTAACAATTTAATATGTGTTGTTTAATTGGAAATACAATATGTGTTTGATTTGATAACCATGCATCATTATGAAAGGATAATGATACACATAGTCCTTCTCATACATGTTTCTCAGAAACAATACATATATCCAAAAACATGGGGACATTAATCATACAATTATCACACACAAATGTGATTATTTTATAAACTTATCCTTTACAGTTGTACATAGAAGCTTATTCATTCATAAATCCTTTGTGGATTACAAGGTAATTGTATCTTTCCTTTTAACATTTTAACATCAGTTTTCAATTCCTAAATTATAAACAAAAGAAAGTGACTTGATACATTTTTATAATTTAATGGAATAATTTTCTGTGAAGGACTCCCTTAAAGAAATACACATTTACCTTCTGTTTGCTTGTTGGTCTACAGCCTATGCAAAGTTTGTTCCTCTCTATTACTCAGCAGTTCAATTTGGTATATGTTCCTTTTCTATTGAGTTATATTTATCCGATAGTAAATATTCTCAAAATCAAACAAGAAACATTATCCTTCCAAATCAGAATCTAAAGTAGCTATTTTATATGAATTACAAAGAATGAATTTAGTAATTTCTTTGTATGTATATGGGATAGCTGTTTTTACATCTAAATCAATGCTTATATATTTTTCTTGATGTTTTTAGAGTCTCAAAAGAAACATCCTTCACTAAAAGTAAGTATTCTTATTTCCCCCATAAAATTTGCATCATATTTATGAAATATAAATTAATTACTATTTTGTTCCAAATCCCATCCAGGATTCTACTGAAATAAAAGTTGATACAGATGCAACATTAGAAAGAAAGGAAATGCAAACAATCAAACCAGGTAAATTCCCATAGTTATTCTGGAAAGAAGTACTTTAAAATACCTGAAATAGGTGCAGTATTCTCATTTTTACTTCATTTTCCCCCATTGTGACAGAATGATTTGTCCTAATTAATAAATATATCACAGCTTCACCAATGTTTAAAAAAGCATTTAGAATCTTATGAAAATGTTTTATAATTGAACACTTCTTTAGGTATTTCTATTTTTATGTTACTGCATCCTAACATTTCCAGACCAAATCTCATATTTGTTAAGAAATACAGTGAGGTTAATTATGAAACTGTGGTATTTCCCATACTTTAAAAATGATCATAGAAAAGATGGTCATTGCCATACACATTTTTATTTCTGTGCATTTATCCTGAGGACAGAGCTCTCCAAGAGCTTTGCTGCTGTTTGAAGACAACACGAGCAACATAGGCAGATCACTTCTTATTCTTTATTTTCTTTTTATTGAAAATAGATTTGTTAATAATATATAGGATTTCCCTTACGCCAGCTCTTCCCAGATCCCCTCCTCATAACTAGATCCACATCCTTTCTTGTTCTCTATCTTTAGAAAATGAAAAGAAATCTATAAAATAGGGAAAACAAAAAAGTAATAAAATAATATAAAAACAAACCAACAAGCCTGAAAAGGACAAAATAGAGAGCTGAAATGAAAGCACAAGAAACACATAAAGACAGAGACGCACACATCGTCACACACTAAAATCCCCCTAAGAACACAAAATTGGAAAACATAATTCAAAAACAAAAAACTTGTAAGGTACAAATAAGTAACTTAAAACTAAAAAGAAAATCAGACAAATCATTATGACATAAAATGTCTTGGCCATCTACTACTGGGTAGAGGCCCCTTGCTTTGAAAGAGGTTTGCATATCCAGTGAGAATCCACCGACGAAAACGTATTTCATGTGTGAATAGTTGTGCATTACTTCTGGGCATGTGGGCCTTATTACAATATGGAAATATGTGGTGGAGATATGTAACTGATAGAGAAACAGAGTAATTCATAGACTGTGGAAAGACAAAGGAAGGAAGAAATGAAAATGGTGAGGAGTTGGCAAATGTTGGAGGCCTTCTTGCTACCTGGGAGTAGTCTAAGGTGGGCAGGTCTGCTTACCACCTGGGACCATGGTGATGTCCAGCCGGGCTGCTGCCAAGGGCCATGCTGGGGACCCTGGTTCCATAGTAGCCAGGGTTCGTGTTGATGCCCATGGGTTCATGTCATATGCCATAATGATTCCAGTGTGCTGGGCAGCTTCCTGGATGTATGTTTGGGTCCATGACCATAACCATCTGGGGAGTCTGTGCTGCCACCTGGGACCATGGTGACAGCTAGGCCTAAGGTGCTATTGAGGACAACGTCTTGTTCATGGTTTATGTTGATGTCCATACATATGGCCCATGGTGCCACCAAAGTCCCATGAAGCCTGGGGCCTGGGCCGCAATCTGTGGCTTTGTTGTTGTCTAGATTCCATGCTGCTATGAGAGCCATTTAGTAGGACCTCAATCTACTGAGAAAAATAAATAGTGACTGTTTATACAAAGATGGTTGCAATAGTTTAACTTACCTATTCAGGAGTAAAAGGAATAAGTTTGAAAAGCAAATAAACTTAAGTTGGTAAAGACAAAGAAGAAAATGATATAAAGTATCCATTTAATTCAGAGTAGATGTCTAGAATTAGGAAAAAAATGAAGTAAAACTTTTCAAAGTCAATTGAATCTTAAAAGAAGCAAGGAAAGATAGCATCACAGTGAACAAATTATTGAAAGTTGTATACACACACATAGAAAGCCAGTAAAACAAATGCAATGCCAAGAAGGTTGTTTCAACTTTCTATTTTGAAGTATTGATTGGTATGCAACGTGAATTTATATGTATATGTGTTTTTTAATTTTAATTTCAAATTTTTAACTAAGAAATACTTGTTGTCTATCAAAGGGTTATATTGAAGCTTTATATACTGCAAATTGTCTCCTAAAATACAGCTTTCAGCTAAAGCTAAATAAGCTGAATTGACAAAATCTAACACCCCTTCATGATAAAGGTCCTAGGGAGATCAGGGATAACAGTAACATACCTGAACATGTACTGTACACCAGCAATGTACAGTACACCAACAGCTAACATCAAACTAAATAGAGAGAAACTCAATACAATTCCTTTAAAATCAGAAACAAGACAAGGCTGTCCACTCTCTCCATATCTCTTCAATATTGGACTTGAAGTTCCAGCTAGAGCAATAAGACAACAAAAGGAGATCAAGGGAATACAAATAAGAAAAGAAGAATTCAAGCTTTCACTATTTGCAGATGATATGATGGTTTACATAAGTGACCCGAAAAACTCTGCAAGTGAACTCCTAGAGCTAATAAACACCTTCAGCAAAGTGGCAGGATACAAGGTTAGCTCAAAAAAATCAGTGGCCTTATTATATACAAATGATAATGTGGCTGAGAAAGAAATCAGAGAAACATCACCCTTTACAATAGCCATAAACAGCATCAAATATCTAGGGATAATGTTAACCAAAGAAGTGAAAGAACTGTGTATCAAGAACGTTGAGTCTCTAAAGAAAGAAATCAAAGAGGATACCAGAAAATGGAAAGATCTCCCATGTTCTTGGATTAGTAGGATCAACATGAAAAAATGACAATCTTGCCAAAAGCAGTCTACAGATTCAATGCAATCCCTATCAAAATTCCAGCACAATTCTTCACAGACCTTGAAAGAACAATAATCAACTTTCAATGGAAAAACAAAAGGCCCAGGATAGCCAAAACAACCCTATACAATAAAGGAACTTCAGGAGTCATCACCATACCAGACTTCAAGCTCTATTATAGAGCTATAGTCCTGAAAACAGCTTGGTATTGACACAAAAATAGACAGGTAGACCAATGGAACCGAATTGAAAACCCTGATTTTAACCCACACGCCTATGAACACTTGATTTTTGACAAAGAGACTAAAATTATACAATGGAAAAAAGAAAGCATCTTCAGCAAATGGTTGAATAACTGGATGCTGGCATGTAGAAGACTGCAGATAGATCCACGTCTATCGCCTTGCACAAAACTTAAGTTCAATGGATCAAAGACCTCAACATAAATCCAGCCACACTGAACCTCGTAGAAGAGAAAGTTGGAGGTACCCTTGAACGAATTGGTACAGGAGACAGCTTCCTGAACATAACACCAGTAGCACAAACACTGAGATAGACAATTAACAAATGGGACCTCCTGAAACTAAGAAGCTTGTGTAAGGCAAAGGACACAGTCAACAAGACAAAAAGGCAGTCCACAGAAAGGGAAATTCACTGACCCCACATCTGACAGAGGGCTGATCTCCAAAATTTACAAAGAACTCAAGAAGCAAGTCTCCAAAACACCAGAGGATCCAATTAAAAAGAGGGGTACAGAACTAAGTAGAGAATTATCAATATGGGAGTCTAAAATGGCTGAGAGACCTTGAGAAGGTGCTCAACATCCTAAGCCGTCAGGGAAATGCAAGTCAAAACAACTCTGAGATACCATCTTCCTCTGGTCAGAATAGCTAAAATCAAAAACACCGAAGACAATTTATGCTGGAGAGGATGTGGAGAGAGGGGAACACTTCCTCCACCGCTGGTGGGAGTGCCAACTCATACAGCCACTTTGGAAATCAGTATGGAGATTCCTCAGGAAAATGGGAATCAATCTACCACAAGACCCAGCAATTCCACTCTTAGGCATATATCCAAAAGATGCAAATTCATACAACAAGGTCATCTGCTCCACGATGTTCATAGCAGCATTATTTGTAAGAGCCAGAACCCGGAAGCAACGTAGATGCCCCTAACTGAAGAGTGGATAGAGAAAATGTGGTATATTTACACAATGGAGTACTACTCAGCAGAAAAATACAATGGAATCTTGAAATTCGCAGTTAAATGGATATCACTAGAAGAAACCATCCTGAGTGAGGTAACCAAGTCACAAAAATACAAACATGGTATGTACTCACTCATATATGGATTTTAGACATGGATCTGGATAGTGCCATTCTGAACTTCCACTGACAGAGAGTCTGGGAAACAGTAAAGAACCTAAGAGAGATATGCATGGTACCGCAGAGAAGAGGAATGAGGCAAGATCTTCTGAACAGATTGGGGACACGGCAAGGGGTGGGGGGGAGTGGGAGATGGAACAAGATGGGGGGAGAAGAGGAAGAGAGAGTAGGTCATGGGGGAACAGGAAGGTTGAGTGGGGGTACAACAGGGGGAGAACAGGATGATAAATACCATAATAGAGGGAGTCATGAGTTAGAATTCAGATCTGGCACCAGTGAGACCTCTAGTGATCTAAAGGGATGACACCAACTGGCAAGCTAAGCAATAGTGGAGAGACCATCTTAAATGTCCATTTCTGATAATGAACTATATGCCATCTAGAACCTTCATCCAGAGGCAAACACCCACAGTTAAACACTGAACTGAACCTATGGAACCCAGTGACAGAGAGAGAGGAACGATGAGCAAATTGGCAAAGAATCGGCTGCCAAAAACAGCAAAGACAGCTGATCTTAGCAAGGGGGGAGCTCTTGGACACCAGACCGACAGCTGGGAGGCCAGAATGTGACTGATTCAGACCCCCGAGTGTGAGAGTCAGTGGTGTGTCCATAACACAAAGAGGGATGCTCTCTCAGCCTCTACTCTTAGGGGAGTGCCTGGACCCTGCCCTGAGTGAAATGATAGACTCTGGATATCCCCTATGTGGAAGGAAGTGGCGATATGGTGGGAGGCTGAGGGGGATGGCGGAGGGCTGCGCGAGGACAGTAGAGAGAGGTAACTGGGATTGACATGTGAAGCAAGCTATTTAAAATTAAAATAATAAGAAAATAAAAAATAAGCTGAATTGAAATCCTCAAATGATAAAACAGAACAAATAGTATTATTGCAAATTTTAAGATTTTGGCTATTATACAGTCAGTGTTGTTTTCTTTAAAGCTTGTTGTATAACTAAATATATTTCTTTATTATGAACAGTGATATTAGAAGATGATCAAGATAAGTGTGATGCAAGCCAAAATAACAGACCATTGGTATGTAAATACTTAAATTTAAAAGACTAATGTTACAATGTTTTATTTTAAAAGCTAATGTAGCATAGAACAAATATTGAGACAGGGTTTCTCTGTATTGTTTTGGAGGTTGTCAGTCCAGCCTGGCCTCGAACTCACAGAGATCTGCCTGCCTCTGCCTCCTGAGTGCTGGGATTAAAGGCATGTGCCACCACTGCCTGGCTAAATATTGTTATGTTTTTAAACTTCTCTATTGGATAAGTAGGTAATAATTTTCCTTTATTAGAAATATCCTTAAATGTCAAATGTTTCCTTCTAGAAAAGGCATGATTCCTGTTAGGATAGAAGTCACAAACTTTAAGTTAGGTAACAGGCAATTGATATCAAATAGATTTAATTTGCCTTCTTTACTTTGAATCAGCATAGACAAATTTAATAAATCGAAGCCTGAGTTGAGGCCTATTGAACTAAAGACAGTAAAAAAATTATACGGAGTTATTCATTTAAAAATTAATTAATTTTACATCCTAGCTGAAGTTCCTCCTCCCTCCTCTCCTCCCAGTCCCTCCCTCTCCCTCTCCTATTTTTCCCACCAAGTAATTCACTCTTTTTCAAGAAAGGGCAAATCTCCCATTGATATCAACAAAACATGCATATCAAGTCACAGTAAGACTAAGCACCTCCCCATGTATTAACGCTGGGCAAAGAGACCCAGTGTGAGGAAAAGACTCCCAAAAGCCAGTAAAAGAGTCAGAGACAGCCTCTGATACCAATATTAGGTATCTACAAGATGATATGCAACACGGCTATAATATATGCAGAGAGACTAGGCTAGTCCCCTTCAGGCTTCCCTGGTTGTTCATTCAGTCTCTGTGAGTCCCTATGAGCCCAGGTTAATTGATTCTGTGGGTGTTTTTATGATGCCTTTGACCCCTCTGTCTCCTACACTCCTTTCTCCCCCTCTTCTGCAGGATTCCCTGTGCTCTGCCTAACGTTTCACTATGGTTTCCAGAGGCATTCTTTTTTTTTTTTTTATGAGACAGGGTTTCTCTGTATTGTTTCGGAGGCTATTGGTTCCAGCCCGGCCTCGAACTCACAGAGATCCGCCTGCCTCTGCCTCCCGAGTGCTGGGATTAAAGGTGTGCACCACCACCACCCGGCTCCAGAGGCATTCTTAAAAGTAAAACTGTACGACAGCCTCCAAAACAATACAGAGAAACCCTGTCTCGTAAAAAAAAAAAAGTAAAACTGTATTGGGCTTTCCATCTTCCTCAAAGATATGGAACCACTTTGTCAGCAACACTGTTTAATTAAAGTGGATACTTTGCTGAATTTTATAAATGGATTTTGAAACAAACATATGTGCTGTTGTCAAATTTTATAGAGGACAAATATGAAATTTAGAAAAATGTCTTACATTTTCCAGTTATTCCAGGTTATCGTTCTTAGAACTCTGAAATTCTACTCTGCCCTTTACTTTGGGCAAACCAGGCTTCATTTTTGTGAGTACTTTTAGATTTAGGTTACCAAAGATCCAAATGAAAACAGAAAGATCATAGTAGGCTATGCAGGAAACGTATTAGTGCAGATAGAGGAGACCACATTCGTTTGTTGTAGAAGAACCAAAAATCACAATTCTAAAGGTGGCTGTTAATGTTACATGTCACTAGAAGAGTGCTTCTTTACAGCTTTGCAGGAGTTAGAAATATGTATTGCAAAGTATACATGGAAGAAGAAGCTCAAAATGAGGAGTGTTCCATTTTATAAATTTGAAAAATAAAATAAAAATACTTTTCACTTAGCAATAAATGAAAAAAAATTCCCCAAATTTTCCATGACCTCTTATGACAAACTGAGCACATAAAGTTTTTATGAAGTAAATTTGTAATATACAGCAGTCAACTCATAAAGAACATTGGGGGAAAACAGCTTTTTATTATGAAAACTAAGTTACGTTTAATATTCAACTCTCATTAAAGGTTTCAGGAAACAGCAAGGGACACACAAGCAATGAAAAGGAAGATGCACTCCATTCCTGTGGCTGTGCAGCAGCATCTGCTGCTCCTGATGTTTCTGAGGCTTCTGTTGTGGCTGCCATCGTTGCTGCAGTGATTGTTGCTACTCCTGCTGCGGCAGCCACTGCTGCCTCTGCTGCTGTGGCTGCAGTTATGGCTGCTGTTGCCCCTGCTGTGACTGCTGCTGCTTCTGCCGCTGCAGCTATTGATGCCCTGGCTGCTGTTGCTCCTGGTGCTGCACCTGACATTTCTGCTGTTCCCGTGGCTGCTGCGACTGCTGCGACTGCTGCTGCTGTTCCAGCTGCTGCTGCAGCTACTCCAGACACTGCCCCAGCTACGGTTGCTGCTGCTGCCGCCGCTGCCGCTGCTGCCACAGTTGCTGTGGCTTCCGTGGCTGCTGCTTCTCTCACTGCTGCGTCTGCTTCTGTTGCTGCAGTGGTCGCTGCTACTGTCACTGCAGCAGCTGGTTCCGAGGCTCCCACTGTTGCTCCTGCTGCTGCTGCTGCTGTTGCTGCTGCCACTAGTCCTGCTGCAGCAGCTGCCCTCGTTGCTTCTCTTGCTGCTACTGCAGCTCCTTGTTCTCCTCCTCCAGTTACTATGTCACCTGCAGCCCCTTCTACTGTTGCTGCTGCTACTGCCGCTGCTGCTGCACTTGCTACTCATGCTGCTGCTTCTCCTGCTGTCGCCGCTGCTGCCGCAGCAGCTGTTGCTATTTCTACGATTGTTCCTCAGGGTGCTCCTGCTGTAGCTACTGCTGCTGCTGCTGCTGCTGCTGTTGCAGCAGCAGATCCTCCTGATGCTTGCCCTGATGCACACCCTGCTGCACCAGCTACTGTTACAAAAAGACTTATTCTACAAAGAAAGAATGTGGAAGCTAGAAAGCAGCAGCCTCCTTTTGAGGAGGCTGAGGAACATGATCGGTAAGACTAGGAAGATTTGAAACTAGGTGTTGTTTCTGCCCTGTAAATGAATTCTTCTTCTTGATAATTTCCACACCTAACATGTGGTTTCACTGGGCATAATCTTGAAAGGACAGCCAACAAGCAAACCCAAAATCTAAAAGATAAATAACAAAATTAGACCCCATTTTTCCCATTAATATTGATGAATTTTGTTTAATACATAATAACCAGGGCTGCCAGATGTGAGGCAAAAGAAATTTATAAACCAGTATGTATAACAGTTTTGCGCCATAATGTAGTAGCAGTGATTCACACATTTCAAATTATCACGACATTGACCTAACAATCTCAATTTAAGGAAGGGTTCTTTGAGAATAGGAAAACATTGTTCTTAAACACAACCAGACACATTCTGAAAATTAATATCGTATATCATAGGTAAAATAGAAAAGGTACACAGATATGTGATGCATATTGAGCAGAGGTTAAGAATATTTAATATGCAGGCTTTGAATGTATATGTAGATGTATACACAAGGAACAAGGGTATTTATTTAAGCATCAACAGCTCATGACATTAAAATTAAAATAACCATTAACAAGGAATTAGATTACCATATTCATATAAAATATAATATGTGAACATTTAAAATTGACTTTCAATCTAAATGCTCTATAGTGTAATCATTATTTCACCAGTAAAATATGTTAAGGACATATATTTTGACAGCACAGCTCAAGCAAATTTTGTTCTAAAACTACATCTGGAGAGTTGCAAAAGGAAGTTGCTTACTAGAATGAAATTCTACTTGCTGATTAACAAAACTATTAGTTGTTTGATCTGTCTTTTTCTTCCCAGTGCTACTGTGTTGATAACTGATACCCAAAATTAGCTTTGATGTTGCTGTGAGGATTATACCCAGGAAAACTGTCAGTAGATGTTTCTGTTGTATGTTCTCAGTTGATTGCAGTGGCCTAATTTTAGTTTGTATTTTGCTATCAGATATCAGAGTAATTATGTCTTCTTTCATTAGTTTCCATTCACTTGATGGGTGATTTTCATGCTTTTTACCCTTAGTCCGTGAGTTCCTTTATCCTTGGAGACCTGAGGTAATTGGATGCACTAAGCCAATCTAACTTTCTTTATTGGTGTTTTGGCTTGTTTAAATGTAAGGTTATGATTGAAGATGTTCACTAATGACTGCAATTTTGTTGCCTGATTTTCTGGTGTTCTATTATTGGTTTCCTCATTCTCCTCAGTTAGTATCAGGGACTGTGCTGATTTCTCTTGTGGGGCATGATGGATTTGTTGCTAACTCTTTGTTCAAATATTGCTCCCAAGGTATTTATCCTTTGCTGTGTCCCATAATTGGTACTGTTTTTCTCTTTCTGTATAGTTTTTACTTAAGCATCTTCTGATGTGTTGTCTTAGTGATAATGAAATGATGTTCTGCATTTGTTTTGAAACAGTCTACTAAATGTGAATTTTTAAAATCCATTTTTGATAAGCAATCTTATTTGGATGTTATCTTCAAATAATGTGTCCCATTCAATTTTTCCTGTTTTCTAAGTTTGTATATGAGATATTGGATGTTGTAATATTTTGTCTCCATAAGATATTTTTCCTGATATCTTCCTTCAGTTTTTTTCATATATTTTCTTCAGTTTTTAACTGAAGTAGAATTAAATCACTACCCCTCATTTTTTTCTTTCTCTGACCCAATCCACCTACATTACCAAGAACCACCACCACCTATTCTTCCAGCACTCTCAGGCTGATAGCTTCTTTTACTATGCTTATTATTGGTGTGTGTGTGCACAAATATATATGAATACAAATTTTTATTTTGTTTTTATTTTTTGTATATATACATAAGTTTTAAGATCTGCATTAAATAACCAAGAGAAGGCTTTTCCTTGGGATAATCGAATTAGCCTACTCCCACAAGTCATTACTAGTCTGAAGTTCTTTGGATAGGGGTGGGACTCTGTGAAGTATCTTCCATACACATTAACATGTTCAATGATATTATCACCATCCCAGTGTGGTTCATGCAATACATTCCTAGGAGAGACACATTGATAGCAAATTCCCTGATATTCTGGTTCTTAAAATTGTTTCTCTTTCTTCCAAGATGCTCCCTAAGCCAGAAAAGCAGGAGCTGTAATATTAATGTGTCCACTGAGGCTGGGCTCACCATGCTCTATTGATACCTGTACGGAATCTAGTTGGTATTCTGTGTTGGTCTCTATATTCTCTAAAGAGGCATATCTTTGATGAGGGGTGGTAGCGTTAGAATATACTAAAGAATTGTGTTAACCTAGCAAAGTGACAGTAGTGATGCTTTCCTAAGTTCCAGTAGTTCTATCTCTCTAGTCCCAGGAAGCTAGCAATGTTTCCAGTAGCAGGCATAATTTCCCTCATTTTGAGTGGACTTTAAGTCTAGTTATATAGCTGTGGTTACTACTGACATGAGCATGCATTTACATATACCTTGCCATGCTGATATTTGCGTTGGCCCATAGCTGTTGAAGCTAAGTAGAACTATTTGCTTCATTCTTTGGGGAGTTTGCATACTACTTTCAGGAGCCATGAAAGTTATACCACAGGAACCACAGGAAAAAGGTTTTCAGGTCAGACACAAATTCAAATCATCTGGAACCTTTGTCTTAAGTGTGAGATGTCTTCAGCACAAGGGGCCCACACTCAATTCTTGAAAGGCAACTAAGGGCTACCTTAACCATTTGAAAGGATCATTTATCATGCCTGATACTCAGGTTTTGGTTAATATGTGTTTCTTGTAAAGAGCACATTCAGCTCAAAGTAGCTTAACATCCTTTAAAATATATAACTTAATCAATCTTCATGTTATTTAGCCTTGTTCCTCCTTCTCTTTCAGTACTGACATCTTTTCCATTTCCTCAGTGAAACCTCCACCCATTATTTTATTTCCCACCTCATATAACCTGTACCCATTAACTATCTACCTGAAAAGTAGTAATACACAAGTTTTTGTATAAATATATTTAAATAGTTAAAATTTCCCAACTGGGCTGACGATTCTCCCTCCAAAAGCCAAAGAATTGCTAATAAAAACCCCAAGTTCACGTATGAGAAGCCCTCTTTTAAGGTGTTGATCACAGCTGTCTAAGGGATTTTATAGACCAATTATCTGTAATGTAGTGCAGACTATTGCCCTTGCCTTCGGTTGCTGCCCAGGTGTATGTCCCTATTGCTGAAGGCACCAAGCCCTTCAAGATGCAGAGTCCAGAGCTGGAACTTCCCTGAGGACTGGTTTCATGGTACCATGCAAATTTTCAAAGATTATGTATTAGGAATAAATATGTATATCATATACATACATACATATATATATACAATAATCTGTGAAAATGATGCAATGAATTTGAAAGAGTACAAAGGTTATATGGGAGGGTTTGAATGGAGGAAATTGAAGGGAAAAATGATGTACTCATATAATCTCAAAAATAAAATATTTTAGAAATAAACAAAAGAATAATTTGTTGTAGTAATTTCTATTTTATAGTGTACAAGCACTATGATGTTTTGTTTTGACTGTCAAAAATTTATCTAAATTAATTCTTTATGATATTAAAAGCACCAAAATTATTTTCCATATCCTATTCAGTTTATTACTAAATTGCACACGTACAAAATATTATATGATTGTGTATAAACTATAAACTGTATAACTAGTTATAAAAGACATCTTCTATGAATAAATAATCATTTTAGATATTAGGCCTTTTTGTATATGTTTAACGTAAGCTGAAAATTTGTTTTTCTATTTCTAGGAGCAAAAAGAAAATATCTAAGGAAAAAGTTGAGGTATTGTACAAAAAATATTAATTTACTCAACATATTTTACGAAACAAAAAATATTACAAAATATATGATAATATTTTTAAATGCAAAATTATATAATGCTGGGTGCTCAAGAGACTGAAGCTGGAGAACTGCCATGAGATCCTGATTAACCTGAACTAATTTATAAATTCTAGTCAAGTCCAGGACACAGTAAAAGAACATGTCAAAAAGGAAAAAACAACCTACAGAACATTTTTTATTTAAGGATGGTTTATTTGAATGTTGAAGAAATTAGATATTGGATGCACTCTTAGCCTGGACTCTTGGAGGGAGGGCCTAAGCCCTGCACTGAATGAAATGATAGACTCTGGAGATCCCCCATGGAGGGCCTCACCCTTACTGGGGAACACAGTGGGATTGGGGGGGGGGTTGGGGCAGCAGGGGAGGAGGACAGGGAGAAGGAACTGGGATTGATATGTGAAGCAACCTTGTTTCTAATTTAAATTTAAAAATAAAAAAGAAATTAGCTATTGTTAAAATATCTTGCAAACTGTTAATTTGTAGAGGTATATTTCGTTCTGTTTTATATGAAAGGGCCAATTACCTCCTTTATACATAGCATCATTTATCTTATAGGTTCTAAAGCCAGTAAAAGACACATGTGATCTTAATGCCTTGACTCCAATAAATGAATCATGCTCAGAAAAATGTGAGTTGCCAAATGAGAACATGTTCTTTTAATTAGATGCTGTAGAATAGCATTGAATGAATACAGAGTTGTTTATGTATTATAATACTTATACACAACTGCTTAGAACTACCAATGGAACATTCCTGAGTTGTCTTGCTCTTCATATCAGAATGGTCATTGAATTAAAATAAAATGAAAAGCACTGTATACTCTTGGCCAAAATTCTGTGGCTTTCGCTACTGCATCCTCTTTGCTGACTCTGCTTATTCCCTGGGCATTCGCACTTATGAGGTCATGTTAGCATTATCTCTACAAAGACCAGCAGTGGCTCACTACTTTTTTTTGGTACCAAGTCTACTGAAACCTCTATCACACGTGTAAGTATTTCTACATATTTCTAAAAAGTGAAATTTGATCATGTGTCTCTGATCTAAAAATGAACTGTCAGTTCTAAGTGCTCGTATGTGAAATACTTCCCTCCTCTGTCTTTATTCCAAGTACTATCTTATATATTTCTTTTTTGGATAGAGCCTTTCAGTCTTCATAGTTTGGTGAAGTTTTATTTCAGTGTACAGTTTTATTGATTTTAACATATATGTCTCACACATTTAATCTCTGAATAGTCATAGTGATACACACATTACTTGTAAAAGTCTACTCATATCTTTCCTATTCCTTCGTTAAAACCAACTACCAAGAGATAGAAGTGTGATTTACACATTTCATGGAGGAGACACTACAACAATCATTTTACTAAACTATCACAATCCCTAGCTACATCCTAAATATTTTTATTTCCAAACACAGGTGTATAGTCTCCATCACAACAAAGCAACTTCTCTTTTCAACAGACAGAGACAATGACAGGAAATTGCATCCAATTAAAATGCAGAGTTACAGACCACAATTACAAAGGATACCCCTAAAGAACAATCGAGAAAGAGGGGTATGAAATAGAATAAGAGCCAAAGGACCAGTGCATTTTCTGTGATACTGTTTCTCCTAGTTATGTCAGAAGTGGCACCATAAGCCCCACCAGTGAGAATTACAGTGAGAATTTAATGGAACTAATTCTTTAATTCTGGTGACCACAGACATTCACAAAACACTATATGGTTTTCAGATAACTTTCCTGCCAAACATAGTTAATTCTCCAGAGAGTTATGGCAATACAGTAATGTTTTGTAATGTGGCATGTACCTGGTTCAGGCTACAACTATCAATTCAAATTTATATTTCATTGTTGCCCATCTCCTTTCCTAACGTTATAAGATCTGCCCAACATCCTGAAAATTATAAACTCATCTAGCTGAGGTGTGCTTCCAACCAGTATGTGAACATTGTCGTAGTCTCATAAAAACTTTCCAAGTGTTTTCTCTTTAGACTCAGGTATTATCTGGGATCCTTGTGGCCAATGCTCTGCTAAATATTTGAGGGACCCTTTGCAAATACATGGAGTTCTTTCTCTGTTAGTTTAATGCTGTTGTCCAAAACTGCATTAGTTTTAAGGTACGATCAGCTTGATCACCTTAGCCTAGGAAGGTTTGATGTGGTACCTCCAGGCTGTGCCCTGACTATGATTTCAACTGTAACCCCAAAAGCTTTTTTGCTTTTGTTAGGCTCAAGCCATTAGCTCCAAATAACTACAAACTCATGTTTCTGCTTTTTTCTCCTGTGTGCTGAGTCTGGAGACATGGAGCACCTTGCTTGCTCTTCATCATTTCCTTTTCTTTGTTTTTTAACCTGCAATGATCTCATATTTTTCCACAACAGATATAAGTAACATTAGTAGCCCCAGAGATCAGTGCTCAAGGCTATACCAACCCAGGCTTGGTAGAAAAACACCACGTGATAGCAAAAACTGGACTTAGGGCTTTTCAATCTGAGGAGTACAGAACAAATTCATACACGTGCTGTTTGAGTAATATTCATTGTTATTATATTTTCTGTCCTCCAATTTTCATCTAATTTCTAATTCTTTCTCGTTCTCCATTGTTTCATTGCTCTGTTCCAATTCTCTCTAGTTACAATTCTTTATTGTTTTGTTCACCTATCTTAAATACATTTTTAACAGGAGTCTTGGGGCAATAAGAAAAAAAAACTTACAAGATTGCATCTTATTGGTCACATCACATTCCCTGAGTAAATCATAAAGACGGAGATGCTTACCATGTCAATGAAAGGTTTTCATGGTTTTGGTATAAGACTGTGGTCAGAGACCAGGTTCAAAGTGTCCAGTGAGATCAGCTGAGAGACAGGATTGTATCAGCAAAAATTGCCAAGCTAAGAATTGGGAAGAATTTTTAGATTTCTTTGTGTTAATAACCTTGGTTATATATCTGCAACTATGAACTTGTGCATATCTGTAAAGTTTTTAACATAAAATACACTTACAGAAACATTCAGTCTTGTTTGAATTTGCACTGAAGTAAAAATGAGCTAATTGTGTGTAGTTTGAGTAAAAGGAACAAAGCAAGCTTTTTAAGTGTCCTACAATCTTCATGATACAATAGATGTAGTTATGAAGCATATCCTAATATATTCTCTCTCTCTTTCTCTCTCTCTCTGTCTGTCTGTCTCTCTCTGTCTGTCTGTCTGTCTGTCTGTCTGTCTCTCTCTCTCTCTCTCTCTCTCTCTCTCTCTTTCTCTCTCGTTTTGCAAGACAGAGTTTCTATGTAGCTTTGGAGCCTGTCCTTGAACTTTCTTCTGGAAAGCACTCTGTACACCAGGCTGGCCTTGAACTCACAGAGATCCACTTGAACTCCTGAGTGCTGGGATTAAAGGCATGTGCCATCCCTAGTATATTTTATATATATAAAATTATACAGCTTAATGAAAAGTCATTTTCCTGGTCATTCACGAATATATGTGTCCATAAGCTTGAAATGCAATCATGAGACTACATATATATCACACGAGATTATACACTACAGTGCCGGTTTTGAGGAGACACCATTGCTGCTTTTTCATATGTAAAATTACAAACTGGAACATCAGTTTCCTTATCCGGTGGTCCCATAGGCCTTGCCCTGATGAGATCCTCCTCCATCAGCAAATCATTTCTCTGTTGGGTTGACATCTGAACACTAGCTGTCACCTGCTGCAGCTCCCATGGCCTCTGACAAAATTCATTGCTCAAAGTTCAGCACTTTATCTAGATTGATATAGATTCTTCTTACTTTCTATGTAGCTACACTTTGCTCTTTTTTTGTTTCCCTATTCAACTATTTATTTCTCTGGGAATAGTTCAGGTGCTCAGTACAATTTTTTCTGCTAATATGAAAATTCTGCTTTATTGCTGTACTTATCAGAAGTCATAATAAACATCTGCTTGTTCTATCTACTAGACTTTAAGTTGAGTAACATTATAGATATAGTTTGTTCTTTCTCCAGAACTTAGTGTAATCTGTCCTATTTATTGTAGAATATGCTTATATATTTTATTTATGTGTTTTCTCATCGATGCAGATATTGGTAACTCCTTAAAAAGTACACCTGTCTTTGATTCACATAAAGAGTTAATAGAGCTTAAAGAAATCAATGTTCAAATACTCACAGAAAAAACTAAAGTGGAAAATGAATTATCTGAAGTCAAAGAAGAGAACTCACAGTTGAAGAAAAAACTTGTAAAAAAGAATGAAAAAATCTTTAAGCTGAGGTATAACACTATTTTATGTAGCATTCTGTAGAAACACTTACTGTGTTTATACTGAAGAGTGGCAAAGGGACTTTGGCAATTTCTTAGTTTCCTTCTGACATTTTGCGAGAGAGAAAACTCTGACGTTTGAAGGGAAGAAAAATTGTTGGAAATAGTAAATTATATAATCATTAATAATTTCAATATAATTGTCTCATACTAGATAACAGAATGTGTATGTCCTTTCTGATCACAATGCAATGTGTATATGGAAGCCTGCAATATTGATATATCTGTATTTAACAAGTAGGCTTTTGTAGGACATTTCATTTTATGTTACAAATAATTCTGTAAGAAACACAATTGAGCTGAATAATTTCCTCTGTTTATAATCGTCTATAATGAATATATTTCTCACGCAGAAATATGTTGAAATATTTAGAACCTTAAGCTCTTTTGATCAATATTTCTAAATTTTTCTCAAGACCTTACATGCAGTAGATATCACTCTACTTTTTAGCCATATGCATGCAATGGTTTAATTCATCAATTAAGTTATGACAGTTAAGGTGAAAACAGTATTGTAAGTCCTCTTTTATAAACATGCGGATCATCATTATTATGATTACCATTAGTTGCTATTTTAATTCCCCAAAGGAATTTAAGTTGTTCATAAAATACATGTAATTGACAAAGTAAGCAGAAATTTTGATAAAATAGATACATGAAAGGCATGCTTATAGATATTAGATTGTTTATCTTAATTATAAAGTTTAGAACTTAGAATGAAAACTGTGAATATAAGCTTTTGTAAATGTTATAAAGAACTTATGAGGGGCCAATTCATAACATGAATATTTTGTTTTGTGAGAAAAACAATAATACTAAAATTAGCTTATTTAACAACAGATCAATGATAAAAGAGCAAGCAGAGAAGAAAAGAAACATAATTTGTGCCTATAATGAGATTGTAGATGAACTGAGAGAAAAAGAAGAGATGATGGAGAGAAGAGGAGAACAGTACAACAGACAAGTTACAGAAACACACGAGCTTGAAGTATGTCTGAAAACAAGAGATGTGGAGTTGAAGCAGGTAATCATTACTAAAAATAGTGTTTCAAGTTTAGACCACTAGTATTTAAACATTCTCTGATGTAATTACATTGCACCTAATAGATACATGATCTGAAGAATATTTCCACTGTCAGTTTCATCACTGTGCAAACTTTGTTGGCATATGCATACCAAACCTTGGCACATCTGCCACATTAGTATGTTTTATAATATTTTGTCTTCTTTTTTGTTATTCAGTTGCCATTTATTTTTATTTATTTACAGAAATTTATTTTTCTTTTTATTATTTAACTTTCTACACATGTTACTCTCAGTTCCCTCTCCATCCCCTCCTTCCCCAGACTCCCAGTCCTCCCAACCTCCCACCCCACTCCATCATCCACTCTGCTCCCCAGGGAGGGTAAGGGCTTCCATGAGGCATTTTCAGTGTCTGTCATTTCATCCCAGGTGGTGGCTAGGTCCTCCCCCATTGCCCAGGCTAAAATAGAAATTTATTTTTCAATTTGCAGACTAACCCCAGTTCCTCTCCCTCCACTTCACCCACTTCCACAACTCCCCCCTTTTCCCATTCCAGTAGACTCCTCAGAGCAGGTAAGGCCTTCCTTGGGGAGTGCACAAAATTTTCGTATGTTGAACCATCCCTGCATCTCCGGGTGAAGCTTACTTGATTATGGTGGATTGTTTTTGATATGTTCCTGTATCTGGCTTACCAATATTTTATTGAGTATATTTGTGTCAATGTTCATGAAGGAGATTGGTCCATAATTCTCTTTCTTAGTTGTGTCTTTGTGTGGTTTGAGTATCAGGGTAACTGAAGCCTCATACAAACCATTTGGCAATGGTCCTGCTGTTTCTATTGTGTGGAACAACTTCAGTAGTATGGGTATTAGCTTTCCTTTGAAATTCTGGTAGAATTCTGACCTCTCAGCTCCTGGCCATGGGCTGTTGTTGCCAGGAGACTTTTGATGACTGCTTCTATTTCCTTGAGGGCTATAGGTCTATTTAAACTGTTTATCTGGTCTTGATTTAATTTTGATATGTGCTACCTTTCCAGGAAATTGTTCATTGTTAAAATAATTCCAACTTTGTGGAGTACATGTTTTCAAAGTATGGCCTAATAATTCTCTGGATTTCCTTGATGTCTGTTGTTATGTTCCCCTTTTAATTTCTGATTTCTCCCTCTGCCTTTTGGCTGGTTAGATAAGGGTTTGTCTATCTTGTTGATTTTCTGGAAGAAGCCACTCTTTGTCTCATTAATTCTTTGTATTGGTCCCTGTTTCTATTTTATTGATTTCAACCCTCAGTTTGATTATTCCCTGTTTTATATTCCTTCTTGGTGAGATTTCTTCAGGTGTGCTGTTAAGTCATTATGTGGGGCTGGAGAGATGGCTCAGCCGTTAAAGGCTAGGCTCACAACCAAAAATATAAGTCATTAGTGTGATATTTCTCCACCTTCTTTTTGTAGGCAATTGGTGCTTTAGCTTTCCTCTTAACACTGCTTTCATGGTGTCCCTTAAGTTTGTGTATGTTGTGCTTTCATTTTCATTGACTTCTAGGAAGTTTTTAATTTATTTCTTTTATTTTCTCCTTGACCCAGGGGTGAGTCAGTTGAGTATTGTTCAATTTCCACAAACTCATGGGCTATCTGTAATTAATGTGGTTTTTGAATTCTAATGTTAAGTCTTGGTGATCCGATGATAGACAGTGCCTTATTCCAATTGTTTGTAACTGTTGGGTTTGCTTTGTTACCCAGTGTGTGATCAATTTTAGAAAAGGTTCCATGAGGTGCTGAGGAGAAGCTATATTCTTTTGTGCTTGAGTAGAATGTTCTACAAATGTCTGTTAAGCCCCGTTGAGTCAGTACTTCTGTTAGTTCCTTTATTTCTGTTAATTTTATGTCTGCCATACCTGTTCAGTGGCAAGAATAGAGTTTTGAAGTCTCACTATTAATGTGTGATTTAAGCTTTACTAATTTTTCTTTTACAAATGAAGGTGCCCTTGTATTTGGGGCATAGATATTCAGATTTGAGACTTTTTCTTGATGAATTTTCCCTGTGATGAATATGAAATGTCATCCATTTTTTAAATAAATTTTACTTTGAAGTTTATTTTGTCAGATATTACGAGAGCTATCCAGTAGTTTCTTAGATTCATTATGTCAGAAAATCTTTTCCCAACCCTTTATTCTGAGGTAATGTCTGTCTTTGAGGTTGAGGTGTGTTTCTTGAATGCATCACAATGGGTGTTTTTTTTTGTATCCATTCTGCTGACTTGTGTCATTTCACAGGTGAATTGAGATCATTGATATTGGTGAAATCCACAGAAACAGCTAACCTGAACAAGGGGGAGTTCTTTGACCCCAGACTGATGACTAAGAGGCCAACATGCGACTGATCCAGACCCCCTGAATGTGGGTGTCAGTGAGGAGGCCTAGGCAATCTATGGGGCCTTAGGTAGTAGATCAGTATTTATCCCTGGCATACAGATGGACTTTGGGTGCCCATCACACAATGAAGAATTCTCTCTCAGCCTGCACTCTTCAGGGATGGCCTAGGCCCTGCCCTGAAAGAAATGACAGACTATGGAGATCCCCCATGGAGCGCCTCACCCTTCCTGTGGAAAGGAGTGGGGATTGGGTGGGGGTTTGGGGATTCTGGGGGTGGAAGGGTGGAGAGGAGAGAGAGTGAGATGGGATTGAAATGTGAATCAAGCTTGTTTATAATTTAAATTTTAAAAATAAAAAATTAAAAAAATTTTTTGAGAAAAAAAGGATAATAATGACCAGTGATTATTATTTCCTGTTATATTTGGTTTTCTTATTGGTGATGGTAGTGTTTGGATTTTTCCCTTCTTTGGGGTTTGCTGTTGTTAGACTATCTATTATCTTTCTTTTCAAGGATGTAGCTAGCTTTCTTGGGCTGGAGTTTTCTTTTTAGTACTTTCTGAAAGTCTATATTTGTGGATAGGTATTCTTTAATCTGATTTTGTCATGGAATATCTTGTTTTATCCATCTATGGTAAGTGAAAGCTTTGCTGGTTATAGTAGTCTGGGCTGTCATCTTCTGGTCTCTTAGTGTCTGCATAATGTCTGTCCAGGATGTTCTGGCTTCAGAGTTTCAATTGCAATGTCAGGTGTAATTCTGATAGATCTGCCTTTGTGTGTTCCTTGATCTTTTTCCTTTGCAGCTCTTAGTATTCCTTCTATATTCTGTATGTTTAGCGTTTTGATTATTATATGGTGAGGGGACATTTTTTGTGGGGGTAGTCTATTTGGTGTTTGGTAAGCTTTTTGTGCCTACTTAGGAATATCCTTCTTTAGGTTGGGAACTTTTTTTCTATGATCTTGTATCATATTTCCTGGCTGTTTTGTGTTAACAATTTGGCAGATGTAATCTATTTCATCTATTTTATCCTCGATGGCTGAGATTCGTTTTTCAATATCTTGCATTTATTTTGGTTATCCTTGCATTGGTAGTTCCTGTTCATTTACCCAGATTTTGCATTTCCAGAATACCTCTATTTGTGTTTTCTTTATTGCCTCTATTTCAAATTTCAAGTCTTGTACTTCTTTGATTTTTTTTCTTGGTTTTCTTGGCATTCTTTAAAGAATTTATTGATTTCTTCCAACTTACTGATTGTCATTTCCTCCATTTCTATAAGGGAATTTTTCTCTTCTTCTTTAAGGGCCTCTGTCATCTTCATCAAGTTACTTTTAAGGTTATTTCCTTCTACTTTATCTGTGTTGCGGTTTTCAGGTCTTGATGATTTAGAACCACTAGTTTCTGGGTACCATATTGCATTTTGTGTCGTTGAATGTTCTTACACTGCCATCTACTCATCCCTTCTGCCAAATAGTATAGATAGGGTCTGTAGCTCTGGTGGTTTCTCTTCCTCCAGGTGGAGTCCCTTATTCCAGGTGTAGTTGGGGTTTCTTTCTCTGGGTGCAACTGTGGACTGTGACTCTGATAGTCACTGGTGAGGTGGAGGGCTTAGCTGGGGAGGGTGCTGCTGCTTGGTCACTGATGGTACTAGGTCGGGGAGGAGATAGGGCTAGGTCTTAGACATCATGGCTCTCCAGTATCTCAGTCACCTGTCCCTGCAGGTGTAAGAGGAGCAGGTGGTTATTGATGCAGCTGTGAGGGATGGTTGCTTGCTCTGCTATGTAATCTTATGTTGGGATCATTGTATGTGTAGCCTATTTTTGGCCATATCATTGTTATTAGACATATGACTGTTTTATTTAGGACTCAAGTCAAATTTTATTTCATTATACATTATATTTTATCTGAAATTACTTTTTAAAAGTGTTGTCATCTAATACGTATTTGGTGTATGATTTCTAAACGAAGAATGGAAACCAGTTGATTTCACGTAATTTCATTTTATTTTATTTTTACTTTTATTGAAAATAGATTATTTTTTCACATAATTTATCTTCATTACATTATTATCTGTTTTGATTTTCCTTTTTTGTTTTTGTTGTTTTTCTTGTGTTCTTTTTCTTGAAGGAAGGAGGAACTGAGTGTGTGTGTATGTGTGTTTGTGAGAGAGAGAGAGAGAAAGAGAGAGAGACAGAGACAGAGACAGAGACAGAGACAGGGAGATAGGAGAAAGAGATGAAGTTGGATGAATGGGATATGTGGAGCTGGATAGTATATGGGAAAAGTTGGTGGAAGAGAAAGAATATTATTGAAATATATTATATAAAAAATTAGAAGGGATGATAAAATAAAATAAAACAGAGATTGTAGAATGAAAATGCACAATAAACTTGTAAATAAATAAAATATTCACATATTTTTCTTATACAGTCTATAGAAATTTGTTTTATAATGTAAAATACAATATAATACTTTCCTATCAGTGGCTTTAGCTTCCTCTGAGGATCATGCCATCTACATACTCATTATTATATAATAGGACGGTATCATTTACATTTCACATGTATGATAATGTCTTACCAGAAATATGCAAATTTTCATGGAACTATTGTGTTTGATAGATGATACCTAGACCCCAAAGTAGTGATACATGTACCATAAAATAAAAAAGGGATGCAATATCCATTGGTTAGTGGAGTTAGTGAAAGTCTCATGAAGAACTGGAGATGTATCCTTTGTCACAATTCCTATGGTACTTAGAAGAATTAACTGATATATTGCTTTCTTTTTTTTTTTTTTTTGGTTTTTCGAGACAGGGTTTCTCTGTATTGTTTTGGAGGCTGTCGGTCCAGCCCGGCCTCAAACTCACAGAGATCCACCTGCCTCTGCCTCCCCAGTGCTTCCACCACCGCCCGGCAATATACTGCTTTCTTAATAGATCTAATTCTATTGTTAAAAAATGTAATTAATGATATTAGTGTTACATCAAAGATATGTTACATCATACATAGATATTACTGTGTCACATGAGAATAAAATATATGAGTTGCATAGTAAACTTCCCAATATTGGAAAACAGTAAATATCATTATCATTTAGATTTTGTAGATTAAAAATAACTGAGACATAGGAACTTAACTTGTTTCAGAACAAAGATCTTATATTAATTGGATCTGGTATTAAGGCTCACACATTCACATTCACATTCAGACATCTGTGTTGAAACCTCCTCAAACCTTGCTCACACCCTTCAATACCTTTCAATAAAATACCTGATTATAACTGGAAATCTTATGTCAGGGGCAAAATGTTTACAAGGCAAGAAGAAAGACTTATGTTTAGTCCTGAACCCATTAAGACTAGGCAAAATGCTATAGGCTAGTGATCACAGCCCTGGAGAGGCAGAAATGGGTGGCTTTTTAGAATGCACCAGCAGAACAGCCTATCCAATTACTCAACAAAGAAAGAAAGGAAAAGAAAGGAAATCCAACAGCCCCCAAAGAACACTTCAGATTGTCTTCAGGTACAACTGTCATCTTACACACACACACACACACACACACACACACACACACACACACATGCATCAGGATGCAAACACAATGTTATGTCAATGTGTTACCATTGCTGGCATAGCTTTGGTCATTTATGTATATAGAAACTCTTTAAATTAAAATTACTATGTGGACCTTGTAAAGCAAAACCACAAAGGCAATAAGGGTCTTTCCCCTTTCAGTTTTGTCATCTTCAATATATGATAAAACAAAATTGAAATAGAAATGTAATACATTTTAGTCCTATAGCAGCATCAGTTCATTGGAGGGGGGGAGTGTTTGTTTTGTTTTGTTTATAAAGTGAGGCAATATTACTTCCTGCTTTGTGGGCTGTGAGAATACTGTTGCAACAATAACTTAAGCTTGTAGTGACAGCCTGAAAGCTGCCATAAATTATGCATATAAAAGGAGTTTCCCATGCTCCTATAAAAGCATTAGGATAAATAGATGATAGATCAATTTGTATCAAAGTATTAATAAAATTATTTTTATCTTTAATCTAGTTACAAAAAGAAAAAGAACATGCACAGAAGATGGATGATCACCTACAAGTGTAAACTTTAAATCAGCATATATTTACATAGCAAATAAGTAATATGAGAATTATCCAAGCTACAGATAATGTGAAAGCACTGAAAAACTGTTATGTTTTCTGAAATTCACAGCACAGTGTTTGGGAAGTAACTCAATAGTATATCATGACTTTGCATGAATAAGAGACAAAATTTCTGAAGCATTAGTATTCAAAAATATATAATTTTTCATGTACTACATCATGTTCATTCTTTTTTAAATATTTTTATTTTAATTTTAAATAGCTTGTTTTACATGTCAATCCCAGTTCCCTCTCCCTCCCCTCCTCCCGCACCCTTCCACCATCCCCCCCATCCTCCCACCCTATTGCCAATTACTTCCCCATAGGGGATACCTAGAGTCTGTCATTTCACTCAGGGTAGGGTTCAGGCACTTCCCTAAGAGTCCAGGCTGAGAGAGCAACCCTCTTTGTGTTATGGACACACGATGTCTGTTACTATTCGAGAGATAAACACTGATCCACTGCTCAGGACACCATAGGTTGCCCAGGCCTCCTCAATGACTCTCACATTCAGGGGGTCTGGATCAATCCCATGCTGCCCTCCCAGCTGTTGATCTGGGGTCCAACAGCTCTCCCCTGTTTGGATCAGCTGTCTCTGCTGCTTTTGCCAGCCCATTCTTTGCCAATTTGCTCATTGCTCTTCTCTCTCTGTCGCTGGGCTCCTTGGGTTCTGTCCAGTGTTTAACTGTGGGTGTTTGCCTCTGCTTCCATCAGTCACTGGATGAAGGCTTCCAGATGGTTATAGACATCAAGTTCATTATCAGGAATGGGCATTCGAGGTGGTCTCTACACTATTGCTTAGCTTGCCAATTGGTGTCATCCCTTTAGATCACTAGAGGTCACAATGGTGCCTGATCTGTCTTCTAACCTATGATTCACTCTTCCCCCTATCCTACCCCCCCAGTCAACCTTCCTGTTCCCATATGACCTACTCTCTCTTCCTCTTCTCCCCCTCTCTATTTCCCAGCTCCCCCTCCCCCACCCCTGGCCATGTTCCCCATCTGTTCAGAGGTCTTGCCTCATTTCTCTTCTCTTGGTTACCATGCATATGTTTTAGGTTCTTTTCTGTTTCCCAGACTCTCTGTCAGTGGAATTGCAGACTGGCACTCTCCTGATCCATGTCTAAAATCCATATATGAGTGCGTACATACCATGTTTGTCTTTTTGTGACTGGGTTACCTCACTCAATCCAGCCACACTGAAACTTTTAGAAGAGAAAGTGGGAGATACTCTTCAACTAGTTGGTACAGGAGACCACTTCCTGAACATAACACCAGTGGCACAGACACTGAGATCGACAATTATCAAATGGGACCTCATGATACTAAAAAGCTTCTATAAGGCAAAGGACACAGTCAACAAGACAAAAAGGCAGTCCACAGAATGGGAAAAGATATTCACTAACCTCACATCTGACAGAGGGCTAATCTCCAAAATTTACAAAGAACTCAAGAAGCAAGTCTCCAAAACACCAAAGGATCCAATTAAAAGGTGGGGTACAGAACTAAATAGAGAATTCTCAATAGAGGAGACTAAAATGGCCAAGAGACACTTAAGAAAGTGCTCAACATCTTTAGCCATCAGGGAAATGCAAATCAAAACAACTCTGAGATACCATCTTACTCCTGTCAGAATCAAAAACACGGAAGACAATTTATGCTGGAGAGGAGGTGGAGAGAGGGGAACACTTCTCCACTGTTGGTGGGAGTGCCAACTCATACAGCCACTTTGGAAATCAGTATGGAGATTCCTCAGGAAAATGGGAATCAATCTACCATGTTCATTCTTTTATAAAACATCAAAAATAACACAATTTTATATCATTGACATTCAACCTATTTCTTTTTTAAATAAATTTTTATTTAAATTAAAAGCAATCTTATTTTACATACCAATCCCAGTTCCTTCACCCTCCTGTTCTCCTATGCCTCCCACCAACTCCTCCTCCCATCCCTGATACACTTCCCAGGGAGGGTTAGGCCTTCCATGGGGGATCGTCAAAGTTTGTCATATCATTTGGGGCAGGACCTAAGTCCTCTCCCATGTATCTAGGCTGAGAGAGTATCCCTCCAGAGGAATTTGTACACTAGGTACAAACACTGGTTCCATGACCAATAGTCCCCTAGTCTGCCCAGGTCCCCCAGCTGATACCCACATTCAGCAGTCCTATGCTGGTTTCCCAGCTGTCAGATTGGGGTCTGTGAGTTCCCACTTGCTCAGGTCAGCTGTTTCTGTGGGTTTCCCCAGCATGGTCTTGATGCCTTTGCTTATCTCTCCTCCCTTTCTACTACCTTAAATGCCATCAAAGAACCTGCACCCAGTAGCTGATGGAAGTAGAAGCAGAGATATACAGCTAACCACTGAGCCAATCTCCTGGAATCAACATGTTTCTTTTATAAAGTCACTGTGTTATATGTGTATACAAATATTATGTGTTGAGGAGGGTGTGTGTGTGTCCTTAGAAAGGGAGCCATGAAAGCATATGAAGAATTCTAATGAGAAGTGAGAGGGGAGCAACAAGTGATTAGTTTGGGATATTTGAGACATGCAAACAAGAGTAGAAAGGGGGAAGAAGATTCAGGAAGAAGGGAAAGGGATAGGGGTAGAAGATGGATTTTGAATGAGAAATAAGAACGAAGTATAACAATACATGTCTGTGAAAATGTAACAATGAAACATAATACATGACAACTCAAAATTTAAAAGTAAAAATAATGAGGAATTAAAATTTGTATGTGAGAAAAATTATTGTAAATATGCCTTTTAGGTTAGAACTAGAAAATACCTCACTGATAGCTACAGTGAAGAAACAAAAGGAGAATATAGAACATCTGCAAAGACATCTGCAAGACACACACAAAGACGTGGTACAGAGTTCCAATTTGGTAAGTCAGTTTCATGTTAATTTCCTTTCTGGCAATAAAAAGAAATACTTTAGGAAACATATTAAATGTCTCATAAACATATTTTATTGTTTGGTAGGTTTTTGTGTGTATATACAGTGTTTTAATCAAATCTACCTCCTAATTTCTATACTTTAATTCTTTCTTTATTACTTTCATCACTTTCCCTCTTAACTTCATGTACACACGTTGGATTATTTTCAATGCAGTGTTTCAGTTCACTGATGCCAGTATGTTCATGGATGTAAGACCATCTATTGGAGCAAGGCTAGTCTCTCAGGTTCACTTCCATGGTTAAGGCAGCTTTCCATCTCCGAGAAGCCACCAATTTCTCTTTGAATTAACTAATTCCATGGGAAGGAATGGTTCAGGGTGAATAGCATAGCTTTGGGATAGGGCGTGATCCTAGTAAGGTGCCCCGATGTGGGTTGATTTCCCATTACCACATTAATGAGTATATTTTACAATTTAGATTTAACGCTGCTTACATTAGTAATATTTGAAAAGGCAATATATTTTTCAAGTTTAAAAATTGTTGTCTGAATCATTTTCTCAACCTTGAAAGAATCAAATGCCAAAAGCAAAAGAATCAAATACACTAGAATTATTTGAGTTACATTTTTTTTCTTTTTTCGAGACAGGGTTTCTCTGTATTGTTTTGGAGGCTGTCCTGGAACTTGCTCTGTAAACCAGGCTGACCTCGAACTCACAGAGATCTGCCTGCCTCTGCCTCCCGAGTGCTGGGATTAAAGGCGTGTGCCACCAACGCCCGGCTTGAGTTACATTTTTGCTAAATATAAATTTAAATTTGCTGTAATCACAGGAGAACAAGAACCTCTGTAAGAAGCACGCTTCAGTAATACATGAGATGGAAAACACAATGAGGACTTTGAAGTCTGAAGTTTCCAGTGTTAAAACTTCCAATGAGTCAAACAAAAGTGAACTGGAAAAGTACAAGCAATATTATCTGGAAGAATTAAGAAATAAAAACTTCTTATTGCATGAATTAAACAGGTGAGTGAAAGAGAATGTCGGAGAATAGGCAATCAGCTCTTTAATCCATTGCTAAATTGTAGATGTTAGTAACATTTTACCTGAGACTAATGGAATGGAAAACTTACCTGGACAATATGGTTTTTTTAGACAGTTACGTCAGAAGGTGGCCCTTCAGATAAAATGTTATTCCGGGTACATTTTATTACTTTCCCTCTTTTGGTTAATACTTGGATTTTTCCTCATTACGATTCTCATATTGTTAAACAAAGCATTCATACTTTCAGCCACAGATTTCTAAAAGCTTCTAATTAAACACAGTCATACAGTTATAAAATTACCCATTATCATATAAAAACAAGACACATACCCAGAACACAAGTCAGCAGGCTATGTGAAGTCCTGCAGAGCCTGGATCTTTAAATCTGACAAGGGAAGCTAGGGAATAAAGAACAGTACATGGACACGTGGGCAGAAAAGATAGAATCTGATGGAGCATATGCACTCTTAGAGACCAGCACCAACTACTGCCATGAAGCTGAAGCTTAGTGTGTTAAATATATACAGCACCGGGATGGGAGGGTGTATTGTCTACTCTCTGCAGCCCTCTATGCTGTAACATAGAGGAAACAAGGAAGCTGCAGTTGCTACCATTTGGACACATAATTTTTTTTTTTAAGTTTGGCTGTTTGGGGATGAGTACAACTGAAACCCTAGGGGGAAAGTGTTCCTAATTCTATTGCAGTAACTTTCCTCCACTGTTATCTTTTGTCTTCTGTGACAAACCTGCATTATAGAATGTTCATATGCCCTGTATTTAGAATAGCAAAGACTACAATATTAAAGAGGATAACACGTATCGCGAAGTTGTCAAAGACAATGCCTCTGTCAGTAAGAGGGCATGTATACAAGGCAAGAAGAGGCAAGTCCCATATCTTATTCCTGGGTACTTTTGAAATGGCCAAATGGACTCAAAATTCCATTTGTTTTATTTTAATTATCAACTCAAGCCAGTTCCTTGCTTCTTTGGTTGTTTAATGTGTGTCATAACTTCTGTCAACTTGACACAAACTCAACATACCAACACTCTTTAGAAAAGGAAATCCCATTTGAGAAGTTGCTTCTGTCACATTTGGCCTGTGGGCACATATGTGGAATATGTTCTTGATTAGTGATTAATATGGAAGACCCCATTCCACTGCAGGTGGTAGGCCTGGACTGCACAAAAGAGGTAACAAAGCAAAGCATGGAAAGGCAACTATAAGCAGAATTTCTCCATTTATCCATGGTTTAAACTGCAAGTTTTTATCTTGTTTTTCTGCCTTGGGTTCTCTTGATGATGGACTGTAACTCATGAGCAAAATAAATGGATCTCCAAAATGCTTTTGATAAGTGTTTTATCACAGCTACAGAATGCAAACTAGAACTATGTTCAATGTTTAATTTTACCCACTGAATATACAAATCCTGACAAATGTTTGAGAATATCATTTTGGGTGTTTCCTCCTTTAAATCCCTAACCTTCCTTACTAGTACAAATTTGCAGAACTTTTTATATCTTTGTCTTATTAAGTGTATATATGAGAAGACTATGATGTGATGTTTTACTAAATGACCATGTAGTTAATTTAGCAATAATCATGAATGTTAATATGCTAATCATAACACATAATTATATTTTTAATTCAAGTAGAGGAGAGCAGGATGAGAGATACCATAATAGAGGGAACTATTTATTATAGGTTGGAGGGAAGATCTGGCACTAGTGAGATCTAAAAGGATGACAACAACTGACAATATAAGCAATAGTGGAGAGGCTACCTTAAATGGCCTTCCCCGGTAATGGGATTGATGAGTACCTTATTTGACATCCTAGAGCCTTCATCCAGTGGCTGAAGGAAGCAGAGGCAGACACCCACAGCTAAACAGTGAGCTGAACTCCTAGAACCCAGTTGCAGAGAGGGAGGAGTGATAAGCAAAGGGGTCAAGGCCTGGCTGGTGAAACCCACAGAGGCAGCTGACCTGGACAAGGGGAAGGTCTTGAACCCCAGACTGATGACTGGGAGGCCAGCATGAGACTCACCCAGAACTCCTGAACATGGGTGTCAGTGAGGAAGCCTTGGAACTCTATGAGGCCTCAGGTAGTAGATCAGTATTTATCCCTGGAATATAAATGGACATTGGGAGCCCATTCCACATGGAGGGATGCTCTCTCAGCCTGGACAAATGGGAGAGGACCTAGGACCTGCCCCGGATGATATGAAAGACTTTGGAGATCCCCCATGGAGGATGTCACCCTCCCTGCAGAGTAGAGTGGGGATTGGGTAGGACGTTGGTGGGGCTAATGGGGGCTGTGGAAGAGGGGAGGGAGTGGAAGTTGGCATTGACATGTAAAGCAAGCTTGTTTCTAATTTAAATAATTAAAAAGGAAAAAAGTATTTCTAATCTGACCTCAATAATTATACATCTCAGCACCAGCTTACCAGTTAAGTAATCACACATTGATGCTTTATCTTATACAGTTTCCTTTTCATTTTAGTATGGAATTTTTCGCAAAAGCATATGTATTCCCTGTTTTCTACATTGTAGGCGAGTGTGTTTGCTTGTATATGGGCATATGGATGTGAGTGTGCATTAATACAGGGGTGAGACTTTGATGTTGGATGTCTTCTTCAGTTGCTCTTTCTTACATATTGAGCATGGTTTCTCACTCCATCTGAGAGTTCACTAATTTCATTAGTCTGCTAGTCAGCTTGCTTTAGAAATGCCCTATATCTGCCTTCAAAGCACTGGGGTTTAGATGGGCTATACACCCACCTGATATTTTTGTGGTTTGGGGGATATGAGCTCTGGTCCTGTGATGCCATGACAATGCTACAATCACTTTACCTGCTGAGCCATCTTGTTAGACCCACAGTATAGAACAATCCTAAACATATAATTATATTCAGTAGGAATGAGCTAACATAGTTTTCAATGTTAAGATTCTCTTCAAAACAGAATTTATTATTGTAGTAGAATTTTTATTGAAAGTCATTTCAGACTTTTTCTTGGTATTCACATGTCTAATAACAGTCAAGAAGAGTCCCATACAGAACTTCACATGAAAATTGAGCAAAACATTTCTGCATCAAATACAGGGAATACAAGGCTGTTCCATAAGTGCTCTTGTGTGGAAAAAACTCACCAATTTGAAAACAAAGATGGGGAAAACATGGTAGAGCCTTCTTCAAGACCAGGATCTACTCATGCCTGTGTGGAACACTACCCATGGATGGTGTGTTTCAGTATCAGTTTCCTTTGAAGTTCATATTTATGATATACTTCTTGTTTTCAATTTGATATGCAATTAAGTTATTTATTTGATTTATATGTATAAAGCTAAGGTTCTAATAATATGTGTCATTAATGAGAGAAAACAAATTTTCTATTTTGGGTTTTTTTCCTTTTCTTAAACACAAATTCTTTTCTCATGCAATAAAATCTGAATACAGTTTTTCCTGTCTTCCCTCTCCCAGATCCTCCCTCATGCTTGGGTCTGACCCAGACCCTCAGCACTTACATTATGGCTTTCAGTTTAGCACTTGACTATTTTAATTTTATCTGATTATATTTTATTTTTTTATGCTTGATTATCTCCTAGAAGCCTGTTCTTTCTAATGAAAGGAAAAAAGGAGGTGGATCCAAATGGGAAATTTTCCCATATTTAAGGTGTCCCTCAAAATATTATCTTCAAGAAATGCAAATTTACCTTTATTGAATAAATATAACTAAATTACTAAACAGTTACATTTTACATCCTGTCAAAGCCTTATCTACAAGACATTTTAGCATGTAAATATAGCTACAGATGCATTTGGACATGCTGTGGAAAAGTTTCTGTGTCATTGTGTCTGCTAGTACCTGACGGGACTTTAAGGGTTCTACAGATCCCCAAGGTTGCTACATTAAATCATAAGTGTGTGATTGACATTTAACCCCTTATAATTAAGTTTATATTTAAGTTGTAAGGAAATCTGAAAGGAAAACTCACCATGAATAAAATAAACCTTTAAAACAAACAAAAGTATACTATCTTCTGGCTATGTTTAAAATGCTCCATTAACTTAAAAAAGATTTTATGCCCTTTATTGTCATTTAATTTACATCATTTTAAATGTTTATTACTGCAGTGATTATTCTAATTACAATTGTTATGAACACTTAGCTTTTCAAAATAAAGTTCACTGTGCCTACCAATTGTCCCTTCCTTGAATGATTGATGGATAAGGCAGAAGTGACACAAACAACTTCAAATATCACCTACCACAGATATCATTTGGGTACTTCTATTAGGATATGTATGCGAAGGCACACATTTCCTAGTATCTCTAGTGGACACTTAAGAACAACTTTTCATTTACCTGTTTAATTGCATTCATAATAAGCTATCTTTTCCATATTATTTGCAGACAGGAAGGAATCAAGGGTTAAGGATAATTGAAACATAATCAACTAATTATCTATATTTTGACCCAGCAGAAATTACATAAACTATTCATTTGAATAAGTTTAAACACATACTTATATCCTTGTTAATGAAATACCCTTATCTATCTATGTACAATGAGTCATAGCTTTCTTGGTGTTTATTTCTCATTTTCAAAGAGCAAGTTTTAGGTGGCTTAGGCAGTATTATAGTGAAACAGCTTACAATGGGAACTACTAAGTGACTGATGAAATATATAAACTATCATATACTAAATGGATGAATTTAAAATCATCCTGTTAGCCTACTTTTCCATTTTTTTCTCAAAGATATGAAGTATCAAACTCCAAATGCTACAGAATCATGAAGTGGAACCACCACGTACAAAAGAAAAGGAGTTGGACATGATTCTTCTATGAATCGTTAAGCACAGCTTAAATTAAAAAAAATGTCCTCCTCCATTCTAACTTAAAAAATCAGAGCACATTACTCTATAAAAACAAGGACTGTAACGCTTGCTTTTATAGATGGCTGTGAACTATGAAGTATTAATGCTTTCACCTAGATCAGTGGTTCTCAATCTGCCTAACAATACAATCCTTTAACACAGTTCCCCCTGTTGTGGTGACCCCCAGCCATAGATAATTCCATTGCTACTGCATAACTGTGATTTTGCTACTGTTGTGAATCATAATGTAAATATTTTTGGAGACAGGTTTGTCAATGTGGTCATGACCCACAGGTTGAGGATACTCAAAGTACTTTAGATCCTAAAGTATTTATGAAGCCAGAAAAAAAACCTGCTTAATGCCAAGTATTTCCAGATAACTGGAGAAATGCTTTTCTTATATTAAACATATGAATTAAAAACTACATGTTGTTTCCTTGTGAGATATGTTCACCAATCAAGGTAAACATCCTTGGAAATATTAACTTTGCCTGAATATTTTTATTAGTGCTTATTTCCAAAATGTCAAATAAATGTTGACTATTTAACAAAATAGACAATGTATACATATATCAATTTGAAAGATTTGAAGTAATCATCAGTCTTGTGTTTTTTCCTTGTTTCCATCAAGTTTGTAATATTTTTAAGGCCGATGTAACCACATTCTTCATAAACTCATGATTACTAGTATGTAAAGAAAGATGAGTGAGCCTCTAGGATTGAAAATTATATTTTATATTTTTATAGTCTGAAAATTATATGAGAGAGCTAAGCGAAGGACTCGGTGACTTAAAAAAATCCATGCAACTTAGTTTGTTGACTGAGAAGAAACAAAATAGTGATGTAGGAGAACTAGCTGGATAAGATCCGAATTTTTCAGATAATTTCAGGGATTTAACTGTAATCTTAGTAATGCCTAAATAGAAATTCACTTTACACTTTGTTGTTAACATTTAAATAACATTATTTTAAGATGTGTTCAAGAAACTCAAACAGAAACTTTTTTGAGACCATGTTTTGCAATATCAAGCCAACCTGACTTCAAATTGTGATCCCTATGCCTCAGCCTTCTAAACGTTGAGTACATAACAATGAAAGCAAATTTTTTTGAATAGCATTATAATAAAAGTATTTTGTGTATTCTTCAAGGATGTTGACAGTGAATAGATTATTACTTTCGGCATGTAGCTTCACCTGCATTCTACTTCAAGTGCCACAAATATGAACTTCTTACATAATTCTTCACACCTTCTTTCTCTTTGTATTTCATTGTCTTGAGGATTAGAGAATTTTTAGACATAAGCTCTATCACTTCTAACAATGTCATAATTATCTGGATTTACTTTATTTCCTTTCTGCATCTTTCCTTTTACAACATATGGAATATATGATGGAATGAACGCCTTACTAATTACATCCTCCATATGCACAAAACATACATTATCAAATATTGGATATATTTGTGTATTGATATTTTGAGAAAAATATTAAATTTCTTGAAGAAAACGATGGTTTTGATTAGTGATATATTGGTTCAGATACTTGTCTAGGCCTGCATTGTTGCCTGGTTAGAATTAGTTCCAGAATCCCTTGAACACTTCAAAACCCATGGTTATACAATTCCCAGATAAATAGTGGTATGATATAGACAAATGTATTTTCTAGTAACCACATGTGATTGTTTTTAATCTTGGGATATTATGATACTATTTATAAATCTCATCATTTTTATTTTTTTCTCATGTTTAAAATTATTTTTTGAAATTAAAATATAACTATATAATTTCCCCTTATCTTTACTCTCTCTAAAACTTTTCTGTGTAGCAACAGCAATACCCTCCATGCGTTCTCAAATTAATATCTTCTTTTTCTATTATTATTATTATTATTATTATTATGTGTGTGTGCTGCTCAATCCTGTTTTGATTTTTTTTTGCATTTAAACTGGTTTTATGCTTTAAGAATTTCATGAACTTCATTTAATTATATTTACCCCTAGAGTATAATTTATAAATGCGATTACTAAGATTTTTCAAATATTTCGTTTTCCTAGGTCAACTAAATAATTGAACCTGTGCATAAACTATTTAAAATCTGTTTAATCATTACATTTGATTTTTTGGGGGGTGGGTGATTTTAAGACAGGGTTTCTCTGACTTTGGAGGCTGTCCTGGAACTAGCATTTATAGATTAGGCTGGTGTCAAACTCACAGAGATCTGCCTACCTCTGCCTCCTGAGTTCTGGGATTTAAGCCGTGTGCCAAATTTGTACTACTTTATAAAGTAACTATTTTTAAAACAAGATTGTCATGATTAAATTAATTTTAAACAATGCTGCAGTACTCATTACATTTTTCATTGTTTTTATTCCCTCAATAACTTTTAATTAGCCATGGTGGTATACATATAATAGTCAAAACTGCATATATATGTGTATCTCTTAATAAACACTTGTGTATAATTTTTCTTTTCCTTTTCACATTCGAAATGCTGTCTGGTGACAGATGATAATTATTTACAATTTTATATGTATATACTGATGTGAGCAGCAATATCTATATGAGGGAAATACAAATAAGAGGAGCACAATTTATAGATGTCTTTTATTTAATGATAAAGCAGTATTATAATGATTTGTTGTTAGCAATTATTAAGCAGTTACTATTAGTGTACATTTCTTTATTACATTTTTACAGAATTGGGAAACCCTTTAAGATGATAAATCCTGAACATGAAATTGGAGAATGTGGTTCTCACGGAGATTTTGAAACCTGCCAATTTGGAACGAATATGCCAGTTTCAATGCTGCAATGTTCAGTAAGGTTTACTAAGTTTTGGGGCAAGCATTAAAAGAAAAAGAATTCATTTAATTAGGGAAATACAAATCTTTTAGTACTCCAAGCAGTGAATTGAATACTTCTGATACTGTGAGAAACTTCATATCATAGGAAGTTTTTCTTTATCTATTGAAGTTATATATTTTAAACCAGAGTTTAAAGACAAGCAGTACATGAACCTAGGTTATGACCATATATTTATTAATATATAATTACTGTTCATGAAATACAATCATTTCAGTTGTAAAATTCAATGTTTTTCAACATATTTATGTCTCTATCATAACCATAATTTTATAATCATTTTTATTCTCAAAATAAATTTGATAATCTTCTTCCATCATGTAAAGCTCCCCTACTCAGTCTTGGGGGTGACATGAAACTGTTTTCTCTACAGATTTGCCTATTTTGGACATTTCAATTAAATAGCCCCTTTCTATATTGGCTATTTTTTTGTTGTTGATTTTTTTGTTTTTTTGTTTTTGTTTTTTGTTTTTTGTTTATCATTTTTTATTTTAATTTTAATTAGCTTGTTTTACATGTCAATCCCAGTTCCCTCTCCCCTCCTCCCGCACTCCCCTTCCCCCGCACCCTCCCATCCTATTGCCAAATCCTACCACATAGGGGATATCTAGAGTCTGTCATTTTACTCTGGGTAGGGTCCAGGCACTCCCCTAAGAGTCCAGGCTGAGAGAGCATTCCTCTTTGTGCTATAGGCACACGAAGACTGTTTGTATTCCAGGGATAGACACTGATTCACAGCTCAGGGCCCCATAGGTTGCCCAGGCCTTCTCGCTGACACTCACATTTGGGGGGTCCAGGTCAGTCCCATGTTGGCCTCCCCACTGTCAGTCTGGGGTCCAAGAGCTCTCCCCTGTTCAGATCAGCTGTCTCTGCTGGTTTTGCCAGCCCATTCTTTGCCAATTTGCTCATCACTCCTCTCTCTCTGTCACTGGGTTCCTTGGGTTCAGTTCAGTGATTAACTGTGTGTTTGCCTCTGCTTCCATCAGTCACAGGATGACGGCTCCCGGAAGGTTATAGACATCAAGTTCATTATCAGGAATGGGCATTCGAGGTGGTCTCTACACTATTGCTTAGCTTGCCAATTGGTGTTATCCCTTTAGATCACTCGAGGTCGCTCTGGTGCCTGATCTGTATTCTATCCTATGATTCCCTCTTCCCCCTATTCCACCCCCACCCCCTCAACTTCCTGTTCCCCCATGACCAACTCTCTTCCTCTTCACCCCCTCTCTTCTTCCCAGGTCTCGCTCCCCCCCAACCCTCGCCGTGTTCCCCATCCATTCAGAGGATCTTGTCTCAATCCTCTTCTCTTGGGTACTATGCATATATGCATATCTTTTAGGTACTTTCCTGTTTCCCAGACTCTCTATCAGTGGAAGTGCAGACTGGCACTATCCTGATCCATGTCTAAAATCCATATATGAGTGAGTACATACCATGTTTTTCTTTTTGTGACTGGGTTACCTCACTCAGGATGGTTTCTTCCAGTGCTATCCATTTACCTGCGAATTTCAAGATTCCATTGTTTTTTTCTGCTGAGTAATACTCCATTGTGTAAATGTACCACATTTTCTCTATCCACTCTTCAGTTGAGGGGCATCTAGGTCGCTTCCAGGTTCTGGCTATTACAAATAATGCTGCTATGAACATAGTGGAGCAGATGCCCTTGTTGTATGAATTTGCCTCATTTGGATATATGCCTAAGAGTAGAATTGCTGGGTCTAGTGGTAGATTAATTCCCATTTTCCTGAGGAATCTCCATACTGATTTCCAAAGAGACTGTATGAGTCGGCACCCCCACCAGCAGTGGAGGAGTGTTCCTCTCTCTCCACATCCTCTCGAGCATAAATTGTCTTCGGTGTTTTTGATTTTAGCCATTCTGACAGGAGTATGATGGTATCTCAGAGTTGTTTTGATTTGCATTTCCCTGATGACTAAGGATGTTGAGCACTTTCTTAAGTGTCTCTTGGCCATTTTAACCTCCTCTATTGAGAATTCTGTATTTAGTTCTGTACCCCACCTTTTAATTGGATCCTTTGGTGTTTTGGAGACTTGCTTCTTGAGTTCTTTGTAAATTTTGGAGATTAGCCCTCTGTCAGATGTAGGGTTAGTGAATATCTTTTCCCATTCTGTGGCCTGCCTTTTTGTCTTTTTGACTGTGTCCTTTGCCTTACAGAAGCTTTTTAGTTTCAGAAGGTCCCATTTGTTAATTGTCGATCTCAGTGCCTGTGCCACTGGTGTTATGTTTAGGAAGTGGTCTCCTGTACCAACTCCTTGAAGAGTATCTCCCACTTTCTCTTCTAAAAGTTTGTGTGGCTGGATTTATGTTGAGATCTTTGATCCATTTGGACTTAAGTTTTGTACAAGGCGATAAACATGGATCTATCTGCAGTCTTCTGCATACCAGTACCCAGTTATGTCAGCACCATTTGTTGAAGATGCTTTCTTTTTTCGATTGTACAGTTTTAGCTTCTTTGTCAAAAATCAAGTGATCATAGGTGTGTGGGTTAAAATTAGAGCTTTCGATTCGGTTCCATTGGTCTACCTGCCTATTTTTGTGCCAATACCAGGCTGTTTTCTGGACTATAGCTCTAATAGAGCTTGAAGTCAGGTATGGTGATGCCTCCTGAAGTTCCTTTATTGTATAGGGATGTTTTAGCTATCCTGGGCCTTTTGTTTTTCCATATAAAGTTGATTAATGTTCTTTCCAGGTCCTTGAAGAATTGTGATGGAATTTTGATAGGAATTGCATTGAATCTGTAGACTGCTTTTGGCAAGATTGCCATTTTTATTATGTTGATCCTACCAATCCAAGAGCATGGGAGATCTTTCCATTTCCTGGTATCTTCTTTGATTTCTTTCTTTAAAGACACAAAGTTCTTGATATATAGGTCTTTAATTTCCTTGGTTAACATTATCCCCAGATATTTGATGCTGTTTTTGGCTATTGTAAAGGATGATGTTTCTCTGATTTCTTTCTCAGTCACTTCATCATCTGTATATAATAGGGCCACTGATTTTTTTGAGTTTACCTTGTATCCTGCCACATTACTGAAGGTGTTTATCAGCTCTAGGAGTAACCTTGCGGAGTTTTTTGGGTCACTTATGTAAACTATCATATCATCTGCAAATAGTGAAAGTTTGACTTCTTCTTTTCCTATTTGTATCCCCTTTATCTCCTTTTGTTGTCTTATTGCTGTAGCTAGAACTTCAAGTACAATATTGAAGAGATATGGAGAGAGTGGACAGCCTTGTCTTTTTCCTGATTTTAGAGGAATTGCTTTGAGTTTCTCTCCATTTAGTTTGATGTTAGCTGTTGGTTTACTGTTTATTGCTTTATTATATTCAGGTACGTTCCTGTTATCCCTGATCTCTCTAGGACCTTTATCATGAAGTGGTGCTGGATTTTGTGAAAGGCTTTTTCAGCATCTAGTGAGATGATCATGTGGTTTTTCTTTTGCAGATTGTTAATATGGTGGATTACATTGATAGATTTTCTAATGTTGAACCATCCCTGCATTCCTTGGGTGAAGCCTACTTGATCATGGTGGATGATTTTTCTGAAGTGTTCTTGAATCCGGTTTGCGAGTATTTTATTGAGTACTTTTCATCAATGTTCATGAGGGAAATTGGTCTATAGTTCTCTTTCTTAGTTGTGTCTTTGTGTGGCTTGGGTATCAAGGTAATTGTAGCCTCATAGAAAGAGTTTGGCAGTGAGCACCCTGCTTCTATTGTGTGGAATACTTTGAGGAGTATTGGAATTAGCTCTTCTTTGAATTTCTGGTAGAATTCTGCACTGAAGCCATCTGGGCCTGGGCTTTTTTTGTTTGGGAGACTCTTGATGACTGCTTCTATTTCATTAGGGGTTATAGGTCTGTTTAGATTGTTTATCTGTTCTTGATTTAGTTTTGGCAAGTGATATCTATCCAGGAAATTGTCCATTTCCTTTAAATTTTCAAATTTTGTGGAGTACAGATTTTCAAAGTATGCCCTGATGATTCTCTGGATTTCCTCAGAGTTTGTTGTTACATCCCCTTTTTCATTTCTGATTTTGTTAATTACCATGCTCTCCCTCTGTCTTTTGGTTAGTTTGGACAGACGTTTATCTATTTTGTTGATTTTCTCAAAGAAACAACTCTTTGTTTCATTGATTCTTCTCAGTGTTTTTCTGGTTTCTACTTGATTGATTTCAGCCCTCAATTTGATTATTTCCTGGTGTCTGCTCCTCCTGGGGGAGTTTGCTTTTTACTTTAACTTAACTTGGTGTTTCTAAAGTCCAGTCCTGTTGTACCTGTTGTTAGTGCTTGACTTCTTATTATTGCTAATGTTCTCTGTATCTATACACCACACATTTCATTTATTGAACCATTGGTTGGTGTTTCCATTTGCATTATATTAGTAATGCAGCTGTGGACATGAATGTACAAATTCACATGTTTTACTTTCTCTTGAATGAATACCTACTGGTAAACTTTTTGAGCAGTGAGATAATGCTGCATAAACTTTTGAGGAACTGAGTGGCCGGCTGCTTCCTAACAAGGATGCAACAGGCAGATGAGGGTTAACATGTCATCCTGTCCAGCTTATGCTTTGCTGATATCAAGATGCAGAATCTGTTATTTTTCTTTTCTTCATTGAAATCTTTGTTCCCTCATTCATTCTTTTCTTTTCTTTTTTTCCACTTTGGTTTCCATCATATCTTTGTTACAGGATCTGCTGATTTAGTCTGTAAGTTGCTACACTGTGATTGGTTAACTCATTACAATTTATACAATTTACTAGATAGAAAATGAAAGATTATCCTTCAAAGGCCAGCTTCTGCTGCTAAAGTCAAACTGACATTGGAATTCACAGTTAGGTCTTGTTCCTGCATATAACACAGACGCTATCCATCTATATTGCACCAAATATACATCCTGTCCTCAGAATTGATACTTCCCTTCTATTTCACCTCCCTTTAATTTAAATATATATTTCCAGGTGTTATAGAATAAACATTTCAATCTTCTAAAAAGTATTTCAGCCAAGTACCATTTAAAAATCTGGTAGTGCTTAAGAAATTTCAGAAAGACAAATTATTAAAATTAGTAACTGAAATAAAAGAATGAAAACTAGTTTTCCTATTCTGTGAAGTATGTTATGGTTTAATAATATCCATTAAGAACTAGCATAAAAATCAAGTTAATTAGAAATGGCATTCAATGAATTTAGGATATGACACTACCTTTATTTACCATTTTCCAACCTGAAAATGACCCCAGAATTCTGTTTTTAAAGCCTCATCAAGAAATGGAAATAGAAAATACAATATTAGATCTACCAAAACTTACTCCAAGTTAGTTCATTCTGAGAATTAACTACCAAAAGCAGATATCTGAATTTAGTTACTTTCTCTAGTAATTCCAGATTTTTGTTTATTGGTTTGTTTACTGATATTGTACTTCAAATCATGATTGTCATTCTTCTCCCTATTCTAATTATCAATAATATTCTGGAGACTAACTTGCTTATTTATAAGAAATTGCAATTGAAGGAAATTGGGCATAAAATTCTTCACACAGTAGTTCTGATATTCTCCTGGTTTCCTGCTGTTTCTCAATGACAATGTTTGCCATCATTAAATTAATAGTACTACACAGTGGACATGTTTAAAGGAGAGTAACTTTCATGACATGATTTAGTTTTTGTTATTATATCCTATTCAAACCAATGTATCTTTTACTTTTTAAAAGACTTATTTGCGTATTTTATATATACATATGATTTGTCTGCACATGTGTAACACAAAGAGATAGAGATTTGAATTCAAGTTGAAGATCAGAAAAACAAAGCATCTGTGCAGTAGCTCTTACATCTATTTCAGACTGAAATGGGTGAATCTGTCTTCATAATTCCTCAGCATGCAACGCTCTGAGTTCCTGTCTCTTCCCATCTTATATTCCTTTCTCTGCCCAGCAATATCACTCCAGTCTCCAATTTCCTAGTGTTGGGATTAAAGGCATGTGATCCCAAGTGCTGGGATTAAAGGCATGATTTCTGTTTCTCTTTTGGACTGATTCACTCTCATGTATTCCTGGGTGACCTTGAGTTCACAAAGATCTATCTGCCTCTGTCTCCTGAGTCCTGGGATTAAAGATGTGCATCACTGCTGCTCAGCTTTTATGACTTTGACTAGCTGTGCATTATTATCTCCAGTGGCTTTATTAAATCATAGCAATATGTCACCACACACATGTGTCTGAGGATTGGAGATGGTTGTGAGACCAGGAATGAACTCAGGATCTTTGGATGAGCAGTCATTGCTCTTAACTCCATAACCATATTTCCAACCCTTGTCTTTTTATTTTTGTCTTTGGGGCCATAGACAACATATTTTTCATTTCTATTTCTCACTATCTTGTTTGAGAAGAATGTATGAATGAATGAAATATTGTTTGATTCTCTCCCCTTCATGTGGTGCAGCTTTAACACTTGGAGGGTGTAGAATCATTGGAAACAATGCTGGCCTGTGTGTAGTATCTTTTGTAGATGTTGCTGCCAGCCCAACTGTAGCAAGCAGCTCTCCTGGAAAGCATAGGCTTTCTCTGTGGCCTGATACCCTTAAAACACAGTCACTGAGTTCAATGGGTCAGTGCTATGAAAAAGACATATTGCCTAATTTAGTGTTGGCTGTTACCTGACTTAATTCTCACTTTTTTGAAGTTTTGTCTACATTTTAACTCCTTTTCTAATAAAAATTAACAAATTAAAACCTCTAGTCATAATATTTTAGAGTCTTCCCACGTGCTAATTAAAATATTTCAATCAATAACAGTCACACTGTTCATTAACTGCTGAACCATCTCTCCAGTTCTAATGCTAAGATCTTATAGAAACCTGAGTTGTTGGGCTCCCATCCAACCATGAGAGATGCACTCTCACCTTGGACTCCCAGGGAAGGGTCTAGGCCCTGCCCTGGATAAAATGATAGGCTATGGACACCCCCATGGAGGGCCTCACCCTCCCTGGGGAAATGAGGGGATACTGGGGGAGGGCGGTTAATGGGAGGGCACGGGAAGAGATGAGGGAAAGGGAGAGGGACCTGGAATTGACATGTGAAGCAACCTTGTTACTAATTTAAATTTAAATTCAAAAATAAAGTATAAAAAAAGAAAAAAAAAGAAACCTGAGCTGGCTCAGCAATCTTCTAGACGACCAGAGTTCAGTTCCAAGAAGCCACGTGGGTACCTCAAAAGTACCTCTAACTTTGGCTCCAGGGGATCCAAAACCTTCTGGCCTCCAGTGACACAATTTGTCTAACACAAAAGGAAAAAAGAAACATTTTAATCCACCTTACCATTTGTTATGGGTTTGAGGTACTTAGGTCATGGTTACTAGAGTATAATACTTTCATATATGTTTTCCCTCCATATAGAGACTCCTTAAAAAATGATGTCATTATAAGTTCACCTGCTCAACTATGTGATTAATTGGCTGTCCTCACCATTCCAAACAGAGTATAGCAAGGTGCAGTCTGTGAGGTCATGATGAACTGAGAAATTAGCCCTTAGTAGTTAAATCATTCTTTACGGCTCTTTGCTATGTCCTAGATCCTTTAGTTAATCCTTTACTTAAGAAATAGCCTGTGTTTGAGCAACTGAATCATTTTCTCATCCTGTTTTCTAGTTCTACATCTTATGTTCTGTTGCCTCTTTCAATTAAATTGTCTTTCTCTATATATTTTAACATAATATTAAATGAAATAAAATTGCGTCATTTTCCACTTCTTTTTTACCCCTCCTTCCCCTCCAAAAACCCTACCTCAAGCCCCTCCCATCCCTCCTTAAGTTGATAGTATCTTTTCATTGGTATTGTTGCATACATATATATGTATGTGTATGTATGTATGTATGCATGCATGTATGTATCTGTTTATGCACATTTGCATAGCTTTCCCTTCAACCAAGTGAGAAAATAGATGCCACATTTCTCCTAAGAGCTTTGACCCTCCTCAGAATTCTACTGGAATTCATGTCAGTCTAAAAGGAACTTTAAGAAATCCTTTTGTGTTGAACTCATCATCTTGGCTTCCTATTTAGCCCAACCATAACAATGTTTTAAGACCAGGACACTCAATGTGTGACCCTTCCTCAGTATTTTCTAATTCTTACATCCGTGGTCCTTATTAGAGTGTGGCACCTGGGTTTGGTCTTTTTAGAAGTCATTCACACTGCCACGTTTTGACAATTTATATGTAGATAATGTATAAATTAGAAACCACTATTTACACATAGTGTTGACTAGAGTTTTTATAGAGTGTTTCATGGAGTTTTTAGTTTGTGTTTCAAGTAAATGTAATATTCAGCTGCTGTGTAGCAACAGTCCCTTCCTCCAAGCTTCATTTCCTTTATAATTTCCAGTCTTTCTCTTTGTGGTCTGTGAACTTCCAGTACTAATACCTTTGGATCTTTATGACTCTCTTATAGATACAGGGCTGAAGATGTGGCTCATGTTTTAGATCACGTACCTAGGATATGGAAAGATCCAGTCTTGATATCCTGTGCCTCACGAATAAACAATTGAGCAAGTCAAATTTTGTGCTAATGCAGTTGCTATTGATGAAAGCTTCAGCTTCTAACATTTTTTAATTACTGTATATATGAATTTTCTCTGACTCACTAATTTAAAACTATAGTCATCAAATTTTCTCTGACCCACTAACTTAAAACTATAGTCATCATATCTTCTCTGACTCACTAACTTAAAACTATAGTCATCGAACACCCTGGGTTAAGTGGGTTACAACTGTTTTTTGACACATAGGCTTTTACCATTTCAGGCACAATCAACAGCTAAACCATATTCAGAATTAAGAGAGAGCAACACAACTTCAACAATAAATGAGATGGAAACCAAAATTAGAAGCCTTAATTCTACACTCTCTAAATTGAAAGTTAGGACAGCATCGAAAGGTTTGGAACTGGAACGATTTAAGCACCTCTATCTTGAAGAATTAAGCATTAGAAAATCATTTCAGAATTACCTAAACAAGTAAGGAAAACATATATGTAGAACGTCCAATATATTCAGTAATTTCTCTCTAAAATATAATTGTTAGCATAATAATACTGTTTTTGAAATTCTAATAAGGTTAATTGGATGTTATAATTTTGGGAAATAATATTATTACATAAACTTAATTTTAAATTATACTCTGTTATAGATTATTATGTTATTTGCTTTTAAATATATATGCTAATTTCATAAACTTAGCCAAATGAGGTATATTTTCACCTGTGTATTTTTGAAACTTTCTAATTAGGACAGTAATTTTATATGAAACTTTTTGTAAGAATTCACAAAATAAATATTGAATATTGAACTATCTTTAAGATAGTGTAGCTTAAAACTAGTGCCACCACCCCTACTTCCACAGGCTTTTTCTGGTAAGTGGTAAACAATTTTCTTTGCTGTGAACTTCATTTATACCACTAGAGGGAGTCAGGAGACAAAATATTCTTTCTAGTGTCTAAACTCTCCATAAAGGCACACAGCCTTACAGGGAAACATTAATATGGGGAAGAAAGAAAGCCTGGTTTAAAAAAAAAACTGATTAATAATTGTTCAGCGTGAAGATTTTGGAAGATAAATTGCCAAATTTCACCTGTACTGCCTTAGTAATGATGAAATGATGTAACTGTGTCTTAAGAGCCTTTGTTTCTTTTAGTAATTATTCCACTATCACACTCTTCCTGGAATTTTTATGAATTATTCCCCAGTCTAAGAGGGCAAAATTCATATCTTGTCCAGTATTGGTAAAATGCAAGTAACTTAATGGACCTTCAGGAGGAAGTGGCAGCTTTAGACTTTACAATCTTCCCAGGAGAAACAAGAATTTAGAGAAAATCGGGACAAAGCTTCAAATGGAAATGTAAAGGAGATTTGCAGTAAATTCACAAAGCTCGAGGCTGTTCACCGAGTGCTCTTCTGCAGGCTATTTAGATAGCATCCCAGAACCCAGAGTAAGTCTCCTTCTGTGAGAATACCTGACAGGATCTTCCTCAAACTCTCAACCATCAACTAGAGGCCTGGAGGACAGCCTAGGAGTGGTTGGCTATACTTTCAGTTTTACATTTGTGGCATAGTTCTTGCTTCCTACTTGACTAACTATTAGGCTTTACAGCTTAGACCTCATAGGTTGAGACCAGAGTGAATCATGATAAAGAACAAAAGTAGAAGGATTAGAGAGGCTTCCACAGGGAAACTGAGTTATTGTGCTAATGCAGGGGCATGAGCTCAGATCCTCAGCAACCATCTCAAAGTTTGGCATAGTGGTTTATAGTTACAGTGACTGGGAATGGGTAGAAACAGAGGAATCCTGTGGTTCTCAGTCAGACTAGTCTAGCATAAGCTGAGAGCTCTAGCTTGAGTGTAGTACCTTGTTTCAAAAAACTAAAGTGAAAGAGAGAGAAAGATAGCAGAAGTAAGTTTTCCCTATATAAGTACACGCGCTGGGTAGTGCCGTCCACCTTCCTGTACATATGTAGTACACACACACACACACACACACACACACACACACACACACACACACAAACACACACAAAGGAAAAAGACAAAAAACAAAACAAAACAAAAGGGGAAGAAGGGGAAGAAAAAGAGAGAAAAAAGCAAAATTAGAAACTTTATAAACTTGGAAAGTTCCTGGTGTTCTTTTTCATCATTTACAAACTTTATATGCATGTAAATGAATTTAAACATTTTAAATTTATTTAAAATCTGAATGTAAATTGCTTTTAATGAAGTGATTATTCCTGAAAAGGTATCTCAGTGTGTAGAGGCCTTTGCAGTAAAGCCTGAGGACCTCAGTTCAATCTTCCAAGCCCACATGTGAAATGAAGGAACAATTTGTCCCACAAGTTGTCATTTGACCTAGACAAATGTTCCATGGCATCTGTATGTGTACACACAGACACAGCACTAAATAAACACATCGACACATAATTTCATAAAAGTAAACATAAATGAAAATTATTATTCCTGAACATAACTCTAGGTGTACTTTGACATGCTTTGGCTTACTTTCTAGGCAACGTTTAGCTTGACTGTGCACACTTTTCACTGAATCTTATTCTTAGGTTTAATTTTCAAGCTGAATTCCAAGATGATGGGACCTATGTACTAGGAGCTATTGTATACTTTTGTTTGTCCATATTAGATGATATTACTTTGCCATTACAAGTTATGTTCTACATATGAACAATCATTTTCTAATTACTGAAAGAACATGTTTGGTGTTGAGAACTGAAGACAAGATCTGTGTTTGTAAGAACCCTCTCTGCCACAAATGAGGCAGAATACTTTAATTGACATAAATGTTATAAATATCATCTGACTTTTATACACATGCAAAAAGATTCCCAATAGGATTATAGATAGAGAAACAAATGAAGCAAGGTATGTTGCCAAAATGTTCGAATTTGATTTAAATGATTAAATGTATGTAATAAATTTTAGATACAATTTGTTTTCCCTTTATCTTGCTATCTTAACTAGTCTTGTTACAGACATCTAATGAAATATATAAAGTATAAACATCCTTAACTTCATCATTATTAATCTACAATTAAAAATATTAAAGTAAGTTTTTGGAAGAAAACACAAAGTCATAATTACTAAAACCCAAGATAATACTGACAACACAAACAACACCACTGAAAATCAACAACACGATGCCTGCAAGTAACACACACAGATTTCAATAATAACTTTAACTATTAATGGCCTCAATTCTCCAGTCAAAAGACATAGACTGAGTGAATGGGTCAAGAAACAAAACCATCCATTTGTTATCTACAAGAAATATATGTTATCTTTAATGATAGATTAAAAGTATGGAAAAATACTCTAATCAAATATTACCAGAAAGTAACCAAGCATTATTGTCCCAATATCTAACAAAAGAGACTTCTATCTATAACTAATTAGAAGAAATAAAGATACACATAATTCCATTTAAGGGAATTGCTAACCACCCTAATCATGCATGCACTAAAATCTGTTGCACCAAATTTCATATAAAGAGTATACCTCTAGATTTAAAGATACAGAATAGCATTGACCTATAATAATATTGGGTGATTTAAATACCCTATTAATACCCTACTATATGCATAAGATAGACCTTCTGGACCAAAAATAAGCAGAGAAGCATCAGAGATAAATGAACCACACAACAAAAAGACTGAACAGTTAGCTGCACAGTATTCCACCCAAGCAGCAAAGAATACACATTGTCATTTCTACTATTACAATGAAACTGCCACTTGCATTGTGAAACTATTCTTAGTAAATAGAAGCATTTTCAGATTAACTTTTGAAATCCCAAACTCATTTAATAACCCTTGTTTTAATTTTTCAAACTTAATGAAACTATTACAGAATATCTGTAGTTCACACACACACACACACACACACACACACTATAGGCTGTTTCTTAATGGCCTAGACTAATTTGACTCAAACAGTATGACTAATATAGTGTGTATAGACAAGAGATGAATGGAAAGGCCCTCTTCGTTTGATGCTGAATGTAAGACAGTTCATATGACTATAAAACAGTGGTTTGATTTTTATTTACAGTGATTATAATTACTACATTATTATATATAATATGATTACTATATTATTCAATCATTTGGGGATCTTGATGATCTTTTCTTTTCTTAAAGACCCATCATCATATTTAGTGTTATATTACCTATGTGTCAAGTTCAGCCATTCCCTTACATTCACCACCAGATGTGTTAGAGGAGACCTTATGTACATGTGTCTTAGAACCAGGTTCTTCACATATGTAAGATAAGTCTATTCCATGAAAAGAATTAGGACACATTTATACCTTGCATTTATTGCACTTAACATCTATTTAGAGGGACTTTAGAGGAGAATATCCTTGGTTGGCCTAGTATAGCAGGGTGGCCATGAACACCCAGGGATCCATTTACCTCTTCCTCTTCACTGCTGAGATTAAAAGTTGCTTCTTTCTGAACATTATTTCTGTTGACTAAAGTGTCTCCTGTTTTCATGTGAAAGTAGCAAAACCACAAAGGATTTCAGGATTTTATAGATTCTTAAAGACTAGTCAAAATTCTATTCACTCTATGAACCTGCATTTAATATAGATCAAATTTCCCTGGGTGTTCAAGAAGGAATTGAAATAATGTTTATTAATTACAATGAGAAAAGGATCAGATTGTGCTTAGTAAGTAAACCCAATGGCATAGAGTAAAAATGAATTAACAAGAGAAGGGGAGATCTAAAAGAAGAACATTGGGTATGGTAAAGACTTATTTTGGAAGGAGACTTGTAATTGAAAACTTTTAGAAGCTGTAAAACACAATATAAAATATAAGGGCTCAAGATAATGAAAATTATTATAAATGAATATTAAACGTGTAAGACTGAATGATTCTAACCAATATTTTGCCTTTTTATCTTTGATTGTAGGAACCAACAACCAGCAATATTCCCATTGACAGATATTAAATAACTTGAAAAAATTGGTGTAGTTTCTATAGCAGATAAGAATATGGATTATCTACCTTTAAAAACTCTCCTTTGTGTGTGTGTGTGTGTGTGCATGTGTGTGTGTGTCTGTCTGTCTGTCTGTCTGCCTGTATGTATGTGTCTGCCTTTCCATACCTATCTGAATTCTTATCTATCACATCTATATATCAGTCTACAAATGATATGTTATAGATCCTCTTATATAGGGACCTAAGTGTTACTGAATTGTATGTAACTGTGACTCAGTTCAGGTAAGATTTCTCCTATACATTCCTTGCCAACTTGCTGACATTTGTACAATAGACATGTGGGGTGGCCAATAGTTGAGCCTCCTTGCACCATTTAGCAAGCTGCATTTATATGGTTGTCAGCATTCATACAAAGAAGATAGCTGGTTGAGTCTACATTTAACCTGATCTGAAGTAATAAGGAATTTGAGAGCACCTTAAGGACCACTATCCTCGAATCAGGTGTAACATTTAAATATCAGACATGTACACTGAACCCTCCAAAAGTGGGGGACCTGGTAGTGAACTGTCATAGGAGAAACATTCTATATTCTACAGATATACCAAACTGATATAACTGAGAAAAATATTCCTTAATAACAGTATTGTTCTTTTAATATTTTAATAATATTGAAATGCAAGGATTACTGTTACCAAATGCTTCTCTAAAAATGTATCTTATATTCTGCTTTACAATAACCATATTTCACTATTGAAGGACCATTATCTACCACATTAGATGTGGTTCATAGAACTTCTTATGTAAGTGGGTGAGCAAAAATAAGTAAAATAGAAGAAGCAAGAATTGTAGGCATATCAATATTCTGAAAAAAATGTTAAAGGATTTTTTTCTAAAACTGTGTATGTTCAATATAACACATTCAAATATAGAGAAAATGCTTCATTAAGTATTGCAAGCTGATTTATTAAATATTACCAGCTGATTGAAGTCAGTTCTCTGTGTTTGGAAAAATAAATAAATAAATTTCACATTTTACTGAAGTGTTGAAACTTTGTGCTCATGTTCTCCTGATCGGTAGAAATATTTGATATCTCAGGTAACCATTTGAAATACTATCACAAGATGGTTGTGAGGTCTGTTCCACAAGAGCAAATTTCTTCTTGATACTGTGGTCATATTTGAACCCTGAATTAGTAGTCAGAGACCCTGTCCCACAGCTGTTTATTTTCAAACACACACAGGCTTAAATTAATTATAAACTGTTTGACCAATGGCTCACGCTTCTTATTGGCTAGCTCTCTCTTAATTATTAACACATAACTATTAATCTGTGTATCTCTGCATGACCTTATCTTACTGGAGAATGCCTGGGCATCCTACCTTCCCAGTGTCTATATATGATATCTGTAAGCGTTTTGGGATGGGTCGGGACAGGATGGAACAGGAGTGGGTCAGGTATTCTGGCACCTGGGAGTCACAGAATACTGAGTGTTACACAGCTCAGGTGGAAAGGTATCCTGGAGCTCGGGACCCAAGGACCACCACAGGTTGCAGTAAGCTTGGCAGCTTACAGCCTTGCCTCAGAGAAAGGCTTCTCCCATGTATCAGCTCTGCTGCTGCAGGAAAGGGTCTTCCAGTTGGGGATGTTGGCCTAGTATAGCAGTTTTGCTAGGCAGGAGTTTTCTAGGGCGAAGTTGCTACAGTTCAGCTCTGCTCCTGGAGAGCAGAGAGTGGGTTGCCGGGAGCAGAGTGTAACAACTCTGCTCTGCCAAGGAAGGTTTCCCCGGCAAGTTACAGCTCTGCTCTGCCCAGGGTCGCCTCTGCTCTGTCGCAGCCGCAAAAGAATATCTTCACCCAAAGATCATCCAAAGGGGTTTATTGTAAGGCAGCTGGACCAGCCAAGCTGAACATACACAGGGTTTATATAGGGATTCTTGGGGTTGGGGAAGTTTTTCCAGAGTAAGGATTGGTCCCATTTCAGTGCTGAGCTCAGATTGGCTAGAGTTCTGCTCTGGGATTGGTTACTTTTTTTACACAGGATTAGGGTCACATTTGGCTCTGGTTTCAGGGTCAAAGTGTGTTTCTTTCTCTGGTCCTTTTTAGCCTTTTGGCTCCAATTTTAGGGCCAGGGTACATTTCTTTCACTGACTCTGATTCCAGGGACAAAGTGTGTTCCTTTGGCACTGGTTTTAGGGCCAGGGTACATTTCTTTGGTTGTGGTTGCAGTGCCAAAATGTGTTTCTTTGGCTCTCTTCAGGGTGTGTTTCTTTGACTGGTCCCTTTTCCCTACAATAGCTCCCTTGTAACTCCTCTCTATGTTCCTCTTCCTAGAATTCTTCTAGTCTGGTAGCTCTGACTTTACTTTCAGCCTGACTATATACTGCCTGGACAATGGCCAAAATGGCTTTATTCATCAACCAATAAGAGAAACATATATTCACAGCATACAGGACATGCTCTATCACTTTTGATTATTTATATATATTCCTATAGAACAATGCAACTCTCATTCTTCAACATAAACACGTTCACTTATTTACTTCAATGATAGCAATGACTGTTGAGGCATCAACTTTAAACCAGACATATATATATATATATATATATATATATATATATATATATATGTCACCATCCTCAAGTCTCAGAAGATATTGTGGAAGAGAGAGATGGAAAGAATGTACAAGCTAGAGGATGGGAATGGGTGTTGTTACCACAAGTTGTACTATATACTATATATTATGCTATTGTATTATTATACATTACATAGAGTGTGTGGTATAGCAGAAGAAGAAGGCACTATAAAGTGAATGAGTGGGACCAGAAAAGGAAGTGAGTGACAGGAGAGAGGTGGGTGATGAGAGAAAGTACATAGTTTGCATGTATGAATATCACAATGAAACCCAATTTTGTATGCTAACTAAAATGTTAAATATAGATACTCCATGAAATTTAGACTCCAAATGTGATATTTTAGCATCATATTTCCAACAGGCAAGAAGGTCATTGGTAATAAATCATAATTGGTAATAAACAATATATAATAATAATTAAAATACCGTAGCAGTTGTCACCATCTACCTAATAAGCATGTTGCTCTCCTGTTAGCATTTTTAAAAAGGGTTCGACCATTCTGAAGTCTCCAATGATCTTTACTCAACAATTCAAAACCACTGCTTCTTTTATAGAAGTTGACCCATAATGTGAAGGTTGATCTTGATTGGCAACTTGGATATTTTGAAAATTACTGAGATACCAGTAAGCCATACCTCTTGGTAAGTCTTCGAGATTATCTCTAGAGAACAAAAGGCCTTTATCTATTGACTGGATTAATCACTTGATGTATTCTTGATGTGATAACATTACTGAGAGATGGGGACTCATGAGAAACATGATCTAGAATACAGGTAATGGGCTATTTCTTTTTATTCTACAATATTCTGGAAAAAATATTGTATTTCTCTTATTGTCTGCCCCATAACTTCCATACCTATTTTGGGTCATGGGTTGAACAGCTAAATTCCATGTTACATAATGTTCTACCTAATCTGTAATGAGTCTTTGTTCCATCAGCCAGCACCCAAATAATGACATGGAGATTTATAATTAATTATGAAAGCTTGACCTATAACTAAGGCTTGTTCCTAATTAGCTCTTAAAACTTAAATTTCTAATAATCTATATTTTAGCATGTAGCCTTTTACCTTTCTTTCATTTTGTATGTCTGACTCATTTCTTATCTTGTTGGCATCTCCTCTGCACCTTGATTATCTCCTCCTACTTCCTTTCTATGACAGGAATTCCTGCCTATACTTTCTGTCTAGCTATTGACCACTCAGCTCTTTAGTAAACCAATCACAGTAATATATCTTTACACAGTATTCAAATATCCCACAACACAAATCTGAAAATCAGTAATTTTAGCCAAATCTTGGGGCATGAAATATATAAAGTACTTGTTGAAAATGAATCTCTTTTGAAGTTTTTATCTGTCAAGGTTTTGATCAAAATAACAAGAAAACCCCACTTCTCAGGATGTATTCCATTCTGCCTCCAAGAAAAGCATGCTATTATAATTCATAAAACCCTGGACTATATACAACAAAATTTATGAACTCATGTGACAGTCCCTATAATCCCTCATCATCCAGAAGTCTCTAAAGTAGTCTTCAATATCAGCAGTGTTCTAATCATTGAACTGTGGTAAAATGATACACAGAAGCACCAACAAATGCTGTATCCTTTCAGGGCTCTTGGAACTTCTACAACCATACAATGGATAAGGATTTCCCTCCAAAATCTTCTTCTAGAAGTTTCTTTTTTTGTTCATAATACCTGGTCTTTAATGTATACCATTTTGACAGTTCGATAATTGCATGCATGCTGATACCATCAGTTGTCAGTGGTAATGTCCAGGTAGATCACAAATTTCTGTCAACCTAAAAATTCATTATTTTAGGTGTATGAGTATTTTTGTCAGGATATATGGCTATGCATGTAATGTCCTGTTGACTCAGGGGCAAGTGTGCATTGGAATCCCTAGAACTGAAGCAACAGATATTGGTAAACTATCATGTGGGTGCTCAGGATCAAATCCATGTTCTCTGAAGAAATAGCCAGTGGTATTGGTGTATGTGTGTGTTTGTGACTCTAAGATCTCCTGGAATGGCTTATATGGGGAGTAGGGGATTAAACAAGAATGCTTAAGCTTGAAGCTAGTCTATCAGAATTATATTCTTAAACCAAGAATTGAGAAAATTTCAATCAGAAAGCAATCATCATTTTACTTACTGTAGGCTATAAGCCAATCAGTGAAGCTGCAGTTGGTCTTTGGGATTTTGCCAATGAGATAAGCTTCTGTGATGTACCTTCTGGGTGGTGAGTTTTAGCTTTCATGCCTGTTGGATGGATTTAGATAAAATTATTGTTTGGAACTTGAGAATCTGGAAAAGCTACACTAATTTCCAAACATCAGTAATGTGAACACTAATTCTACTTGTTTCTTGTGGTTTAATATCTGTTTCTAATGTCAAATTCTTTGTCTAGTGAAGTTATCTAAACAGCAGTTATGTATTAGTCTACTGTTTTTCCAGTGTACAATCAATATCAAATGATGCCTAAAGAGAAAGGAGCAAATCTTGTTTCACTACAGTGTTTCTAGCACTTCTCTGAGTAAATAGAGTATCATTATTTGTCCTAATTAAAGTTTTTCATGGATTTACTTACTATCCAATATGAGCCATATGATGGAGAAATTTTTACCCTCTTAATACTTTACTTTTTTAACCATTCAGATTAAGATGAAACAGTATGTACTTATTTCAATGGTATTATGTGAGAAAGAATAGGGAATAAAAATGGGAATCAGAGTCATGCTGAAAAAGGAATAGTGTTCATTGTTGCTTATAGTACTTAAGAGAGTAGGGTATCTTAGACAAATGGAGTCTATTACTTTGCTTACATTTTTAAAATTGTACCTAATTACCTATAAAATACCATGAATTGTGAAAAGCAGGATAGTATTATTGTTTCAAAATGTAGTTTCTGTCTCCTTAAATTTTAAATCATTTACAATGTTTAACCATATTACAACAATATAAATAGTATAAAACAGTCTTGACTTTTAAGCAGTGCAACAAATTGTCTAAATTTAGCATGCCAGAGAAGAGTTTACAATTCAAGTGAAGTTTACAAATGAAAAAGGAAAAAAAGTCAGAATTTATGGGAACTACTAACAAGTAAATGATTACTGTAGTAACAAAGATAAACTGATCCAGGTTGAGAAAAGCATAACTGTTGCCTGGTTAAATAAACAGATTTCTCTGTGACATTCATCACTATATTCTGTTGGCACCATAAGAAGAAACACTTGAAGCAACTGTGGATACCAGGGATCATTTACAGTGAAATTTCCTGAAACCATTCTAAATGTCATATCTTAGTTTTTCCCCTGTTACTGTGATCAAATAC